TTGATGATTAAGCCACTAGAGTACTCGTGTTCTTCCATCTGGCTCATGTCCTCCTCATCTGGTGCGTATCCCAGACTCTTCATGCCCTGTTTGTATGTTGTGCAATCCGCCACGTGATGATCAGCTGACCCGCAGTTCGCGCATGATCTACGTTTGTCGATGTCATCTCTAGGCTTGTACCATGACGACCTTTGCGGTTGGCTCCCCCCTTGCGTATTCCTGTTATCTGATCACGAGTATTTCTTGGGTTTCATTAGCATGTACTCTCTCGACTTCTGTCTCATCTCTTCTGGAGTCGGTGCACTATCTTTCGACAATGTGTAGTATGTTGCTAACATTGTTCTCAAGTCATCACTCTTCATCCCATCAATGAACTTCGAGGCAATGCTAAAGTTTCTTCTGTTTGTCGATTCTTCAGGGTCACTCCTTCGTCTCAAGCTCTCACTGTCATCCAGGAATCGATCAATTGATTCATCGTCCCTTTGCCTTCTCTTCTCAAATCGCATCATCGCTTGGTGACCCTTCATACCCGATCCAAATCGATTCAACAATATCTCGAAAATTTTATCCGCTGTGTCGCGTTCTTCTTCTTTCTTTGCAGCCACGCATTTCAACGCTGTGCCTTCTAAATTGCTGAGTATCCAAATGTAATCTCATAACTTCTACCCAAGTGTCAATACATCCATCCGAATCATCCTTGAATTCTTTCGGTTTTTTGAAAGTTTTCCTGGACTTGCCCCCTCCTCTATCATTCGAGTCAGTGTTCCTCGTAGCGAAGGCTTCTAGTGTCCTGTTCATCATTTCCCAGGTGCTTGCCCACGTTATAGCATCTGGCCCTACGTTGCTGTGAGTCGTGGAGTCTCCTGGACCACTCGTTGTATTTGCTGTCCCACTTTTCATAATTGTTTTGGCAGCCACCGGTGCTGCGCTCACCGCATCCCTGGTTAAAGGTAACGGTGTCGATTGCCGTTTGTTCCGTTGTGGTTCCACGAAGTCAACCCTGTTGCCTTGCGTGCGATCCGCTGCCGGCCTGTTTTGTGACGTAGAGATTTTCAAGATTGCGTCTAGTTTTGCTTGTATCGTGCATGAACTCTCAGCTTGATCCCTACTCATTGTGTCCATTCCCGTTTCGAGACTTCCTAATTGGCTGTTGACATCATCATATCGTTGTTTCATCTCTTGTAAGTCTTTTTTGATGTTTTTTTTCTCGTTCCCCGTCAGTGGCATCTACCTTGTCTGACATCTGCTGAAGTTTTTCCTCTGTTGCCCTGGCCAGGTTGAAGTAGCTGTCCAGGTACTCGTGTTTGTTGTATCTTAATTCTTCTTTATTACCTCTCTATCCTCCTCCCTGTGCTTCAGTTTCTTGTCGATATGATCTAACTTCGCCATCAAATCGCCCAGCTCAACAGAAGTTATATCATGGTCAGCTGTTGCCCTGTTGTTGGCTGGTGCTCCCGGTCTGATCTGGTCTTCACTTTGGTCGGTGTCTGTCGTTTTCGTGAGAACTGTCCCAAATGTTTTGCCTCTCTCGGCTTTCGGTTCTTCCGCTGCTGCGTCTCTCGACTTCATTCCGACCATTATCGCCAATCTTTCCGTAAAAGACGTTCTTTGGCGTGTTGCCTGTTGTTTCTTCCACAGTGTCTATCGGCGAGAACTCCATGGGCTTTGGATTTGATTCTTCCGCTTTCGGCATCGGTGTTGTTTCCGTCGCTTTCTTCTCCACCTCATCCACACTCTGGTCTGGTGTCTCTAGATCGATCTCAATGGCAGGCTCCGTTTGTTTCTCTTTGGCACCGTCTTTCGTCTTGTTTTCTGCATTACTCCTCGTGTTGACCATGCTAACTGAAAGGTTCCTCTTTGTTCTCTTTGGGCCCATTGATGTCGTTTTACGTAGCGACGAGTTATACTTTGTCTTTGATTCAGTTGATCTTTTTTCAGCCACCGGTACCCTGCTCCGTCTCATCATTTTTATTTACAATTGTTCCTATTTACAATATTACTATATACACAATTCTATTCTAAGAATAAAATCTTTTTTGAAAACTTTTTAGTAAAATGAAATTTAAAATGTAATAAAAACAACGATTTCAGTTCCCTTCCAAGCCTTATGAAAAAATCTCTTTATTCGTGATCACAACCGTACCGGGTTCCGACTAGTACTATTGTACTTAATTCTGCGATTAGTTAATTCAATCTGTCTTAGTACTCTTATAGTACCGTCACCCCACTTTTTTATACCGTTCCAAGCTTTCTCTCTACTGTCCCAAGACTGCTCGGTTCTGTCCCAGTACTTCTTGGTAGTGTCCCAAGACCCCTGTCCCAAGACCCCTGTTCCAAGACTAGTGTCCCAAGACTAGTGTCCCAAGACCTTTGTCCCCAGACTACTGTCCCAAGACTAGTGTCCCAAGACTAGTGTCCCAAGACTACTGTCCCAAAACTACTGTCCCAAGACTGCTGTCCAAAGACTACTGTCCCAAGACTACTGTCCCAAGAGTACTGTCCCAAGAGTACTGTCCCAAGACTAGTGTCCCAAGACCACTGTCCCAAGACCACTTCCCAAGACCACTTCCCAAGACCACTGTCCCAAGACTAGTGTCCCAAGATCACTGTCCCAAGACCACTGTCCCAAGACCGTACCGTCCCAAGACTATACCGTCCCAAGACTATAATGTACCAAGACCGTACCGTCCCAAGGCTGCACTGTCCCAAGACTGTACCAAGACTGCTCTGGCCCAACACTGTCCCAAGACTGCACCGTTCCAAGACCGTCCCCAGACTGCACTGTCCCAAGACTTCTTTGGTCCCAAGACTTGTCACCAAGTATCTGGACACTAGGATTTCTTCTTCTTCGTTGTAGGGACTTCTTGAATCACTGCACCTTGTACCACCACTTGAGCTCTATAAAAAAAAAAAAATACCCTCTCTTAATGGCCAAAGGCTTCAAATACTGAACCTCCTGAATTTATCTCCTTTTCGATGTTTCAAGCAATTTTAAACCAAAAATTGTTCGCAGGTATCTTGTGATCACCTGTTCGTTCAAAAACCAATAACAAATATTCACCAAAACGTAAAAATTTAAACAGAAAAAGTAATAAAAAACAGAGAGATGTACCCACCTAAAATTCAAAGGTGACAGATGTCAACCTTCTATCGAAAAAATGTCTGGTACCTGATTGCCTCGCGTTTTCCTCCCCCTGCTAACGATCTTATGGGGTATTTTCTATCCGGGTTCGGTTCCGTGCACCCCACCCGATCCGACAGGGGTACCTACCTTAATTCGATCTTACTTTTGGATGTCCGCTTCCTATGATTGACGCGTGTAAGATTCTAATGTAACTAAATCAACGATGTCGATTAATTAGTTACTCTAATTTCCTCCCTTTTTAGAATTTACTACCGCCAACCTCTAACCTAACCAGCCCCCCTTCTAACCTCCCCCCTCTTTAGCCCCCCTCTTAAGCCGAAAATTACCTTAAGCACCGGGTGCTAAACCTCTTGAGAGAAAACCGTAGACCTGTCTCCAGGCCTGCTTGTGCAAAAACGTTCCTCAAAACCGGGGGATTTCGCTTATACAATTTTACACTTATCTCCTATAATGTAATGTGGATTTTAACGATACCCGTTTCGATCAACTTGAGAACTCGAGAATAGCCAAATCCTCCTGGACCACTTTCACACTCGGCTGGTCACCTCTTCCAGTCAAGTCTCCTAGTGGTTCGGCCAAATCCTCCTGGACCACTTTCCCACTCGGCTGGTCACCTCTTCCAGTCAAGTCTCCTAGTGGTTCAGCCCAAATCCTCCTGAACCACTTTCCTTCTCGGCTGGTCACCTCTTCCAGTCAAGTCTCCTAGTTGTCCAGCTAAGTTGCAAGCTATCTGAAAACCCTTAACAACGCCCCACTCTCGGGCACTTTATTGAGGTTGCCAAATTAAATTGCTAGACTGATCGAAACGATCGAACTTATAAAACAGTATGGGTATACTATTTAATTAATATAAAGGTTTGATCCAACTAATCTGGTGTCAAAGTCACTGTCTTTTTATGGTTTTTGTTCCTTTTTCTATTCTTTTTTTGGTTTTTGTTTCGCTTTTTGTCTTTCTTTTTTGCTCGTGTTTTTGTCCCCCTAGTTGCCCCCGTTTACTCGGTTAGCTAAGCCTCGTTCGGAGAGCGTACCAGGAAGTTTTCTCGAGTTTTCTTAAAAAGCTATCACGGTACAACCGGAAGGTTTGCACGTTCCCGCCGAACCGTACTACCGGTACTCTAGAATGGGCATGCAGCCCGGAGCTGTGTCAAGTGGGTTCAACTCCGTAGTCTTGATGTCGTAAGAACACCCAGGAGCGCCAAAAAAACACTATGTAACATTCGTCTACTTCGGTCACATATGAGGCTTAAGAAAAATAGGCCCTATAACCATTGGATCAAGAGTCAGGGACACTATCTCTTGTGTTTTTCTACCTCAAAAACGGTCGGAGCTAATTCGGTTCACTTGCGACATGAGACTACAACCCGTTACAGCTTAAAGGCCACTACCAAAATATCCCCCACGCTAGAAATAAGAACGTCCCCATATTTAGGTCTCAAAATACCCAAAATACACGAACGCCGTTAAAAACTGGGTCGGAACAATCCATTAAGTTTCTTTTTGTTAGACAGTGAAACTTTGATCCATTTCAGATGGATCAACCTAAAACTCGCCTTATCTCAATATAACAATCATAAAACACACTCGAGTAATTGCTCTAAGTCAATGCAAAGACTTTGATGAATTGCTAAGTAATATTTGTCAAAGTGATATTTGAAAACTGCCTAGTTAATGAAAAAAAAAGTAGATTTTTGACAACTAAGGCATAAAAACCTGCCAAAGTAATTCCTTAGTGATCTCTTAGTGATCTATGAATGAGTGATCAAAAAAATTTCAATTTGACAAAAGTAGCGAAAGTAGTTGGGAGTTTCAAATAAATTGAAGCTTTTTAAAATTAAATTATTTTCATTTGTTTTAGTCCCAAGAGGTGTGGATCTTTCTTACATCGCGATAAAACAACAGTCGGACGTGGTTTATTTGGGAGCATCAACTCAATCTGACGTGACATCTGTCGATGGAAAAATCGATGGATTCAGAATTAAATCAATCACTCCTGTTGCCTCAGTGATGTTTCCAGCAGGACTGGATAACGCGTCTGCAGATGGAGCAATAGCAGTGAAATTTCCTCCCGCCGACATTTTTAGAATTCAAATTGCGAGTTACATAGAAGGTTGTCAAAATGTCGAGTCTTACGAAATTGCTACTTTCGAGTACTGCTCAGGCAAGTTTCACCTTTTTCTTTTTGATAAAAAAAAAACAGTTTATATCAATGCTACTTTGTGAATGATTATTATTCTACAAATTCTGCCTTTGAATAAGTACCATGAGCTTTGTATCGGATAACTTAATATTTTTATGCTTCGATTGGTTAGAATCAAGTCAAGGGCCGACGTAAAATTTTCTTGAGGGTGCGGGGATTTCCAAAAAAAAAATTGTCGACCTTTTTTTAGGTCGACCAAATTGGTTTTCTGAGCTCTCCCAAATCCCTTTAACGACCCTAGTTCGAACAAACTTTCTGCGCCGCGTTTTTAGGCACTTTTTGCGCGCTCCCCCCTCAAATTTAGTAATTTTTAGGCGCCTTTAGAAAAACTTCAGGGTCAGTCAGGCAAAAATGCATATCTCAAAATAGTACAAAGGGGGAAACTTTGGGTCGGCAAGGCAAGGGGTCGATATTAACCCCACCCCCCTAAATCCGCTACGAACTAGTTATGATAATTTTGCACTTCAATGACGGAATATTTTCTACAGACGTTTGATGACTTTTTTCTTCCAGACTTATTTTGATTTAATAACCATGGCTTTAAAAAAAATCACCAGAGGTCCAATTTGCAATGTTTTTACCACTTCTGAAAAATATGTATGGGAGAGATTACATTCACATGTGACACCTATAATATGGATAAAAAGAAGAAGTTTTTAAAGAACTTTTTATCATAGAAGTTTTTTCTCAATCCTCCGATACCTTTAAAAGTAATTATTTTTTCTTAAAACTTTGCAAAATGTAACAAGTTTGATTTTTGGTTGTAAAGTAAAATTTTTCAGACTCTGGCAGCTAGTTCTTTGCAAATTTTCTTGTTCAAAGGGCTATAAGTGTTACATCTAAGAAAATTTCTGTTTATATGCAGCTCAAAAGAACTATGCAACTTGAAAGAACTACTCATACTACAGCAATCAAAAAAATGTTTTTGGGGAAAATTTTTTAAATTAATTATGTTGTCAAAAAATTAACTCTAAGTGTAAAACAAAATCTCTTTTATTTTTTTGAACGTCGAAAACATTTTAGATTCGAGTCTTCAATTCAATTGCTTATTTATTTGGTTAAATTATAAGCTTTGTTTTTTTGTGGGAAAACTGCGCTATGGGATAAAACTATATACGGGATATGTTATATGGGATAAAAATAGAAACTTGAAAAAATTAATCCGAACAATTAATCCGATTTATTTTTCGGAAACCGAACTGCGTATTTTTTCAATTCTCATTTCAATTTTTTTTTATGTATTCAATTGTTGCAATAAGGTTCAACAAGATAAAATGAACGTATTTTTCGAGTGTTTTGTGCAATGGTGCAGAAAACCTTGAATTTAATCCATAAAAAATTGCATGGTTTCAAAACTTCAATTTCGTGGTTATAATGAAACACTGCGTCTACTTTACCTTCATAGATTAAAAAGAAGCTATAATTTGCCGTAGAACTTTGCTTTTTTTATTCAATGATTTTAGTTTTCCAATTCAAATATTGTATATTTCTATTTTGCTGGCTGATGAACTTCTTTTTTAGAAAAGCGATAAGCGCTTTTGAGAAACTCATATTTTAGATTTTTGTAGACTTTTGTAGATTTTTGTAAAAAAAAATACTTATCAAGAACCAAAACTAAGCAATGTGGACAATTCTCCGTAAAAAACACTATAGAATAATGTGTATATTAAAGTTATAGCGGCATTGAAGGAAGATTTTCCTTTGGAAACCAAACTGCGTGTTTTTTCAAAACTCATTTTAATTTTTATATCTTTATTCAATTGTTTCAAAAATGTTCTTTCCTAACGCGTCAAAAATTCTTTCCATAAATTTTTTTAATCCTGAACTTTAGAAGTTTATAAAATTTAATCATTGCGATAGAAGTTGAAAATTTAATCATTGCAGTAGATTTATTACCTCCCAAAAGATCAACCGTCCGGGAAAATTTCTGTCTAATAATTAGTGTGAACTAAAAAAATGTTTTTGCAGGGAGTGTGTCAAACCCTAGGCATGTAAAAAAGATGTGCTTTGTTTTTACCAATCTCAAGGAAAGCGCAAATTAAAGAATTTGCTATGTCAAAATGATTTTAGTTATTCACATCTAGACCTTTTTAAAATATGGCTATGTCTTTGTATTTGATATGGATAAAAACGTTTTTATTAAAATATCGTACCTTGATGGTTGTTAAATTCTGAAATTTTTTCACAGGTCTATCTACAAGAATTATAATTTTTTGCTAAAGATTTTACTTGCACCTGGCTGTTTATGTGTTCAAATGCTGAATACTTATGTTTTTCTTGATTATTTGCTTTTCATTTTTCGTTAACCGTTTTTTGTTTCGATATTTTTCAAGCCAAATGTTTTGCTAAAAAGATGAAATGTTCGTCAACTTAGAAAACGTTTAAAACAATTTTTGTGCATCTGTTTGTTGATACTTGATAGAGCAGTGCGTGCAGAGTTTTATTATAATTTGATCTAGAACTCTGTTCCACTCTTTGAACAACTTTGTCCTGTGTCATTAAAGATAGTTAACCTAATTCCTGGATCCTTGAGCAAAAGATTTAAAACTGTTTGTTGGAGACTCGTGACAACTAGAAATATAGTTTGGTATTTTGAACAGAACGAAGGACACAGAAGCGGTTGCCAAGTGTACGATCTGTTGGGATTATTAAAAACGAAAGTTTTTTGCTTCAAAGAGTTCATTTTGGATAGATCTTCGTTTCGCACAAGCTTAATGATCTCTCAAAGTCAAAAGTTGGTATAAAATTGACATTTCTGACTTTAATTTATGTTTTATTTATTGGGACAAAAAAATCAGACTTTTTCAAAGTTATGGCACAGAAAAAAAAAGATTTTTTTTCCAGTCGGGTTGATTCAAAAAATTATATAGGGTTTTTCTTATGCCAGGTTTTAGCAATGTAGTGTTAAGCAGCCAATACCACAACACCGTTCCTTTTTAAAATCTTTTCGTCTTTGATCTACGTTACATGTATGATAAAAAGTAAAACAAACGACAAGTAACGAGCTATCTGTTACCTGAATTTCTCTTAATTAATCTTCAGCTACCATAAAAAATTGTATACTTTTTATAGTACAAAAACAGTTGTTCCAATTTTTTTGGCACACTGTCAGGGGTCTTTTAAAACAGTCAAAGCTTTGCCTTCAGAGGAGCAGTCATGCACTATGTGTTTTTTCGGCTTTTTCATTTTTTGTTCCGACCATTTGAACAATGGGGAGAAACTTTGTATTCGGCTGTTTTTGCCTATTCTTTTTCGTTATCGGTTACCAAAGTCAATCATTGGAGAGATTTGAGTGATATATCTTATTAGAAATCTTTCAATCTTGATTCGAACGACATTTAGAAAAATTCAAAAAATTTCTGCATGTATCGAGAAAATTCGGTTTGAATTTTTGACTTTTAGTTTGAACTTGAATTAGTGAAGCGAGCGAGCAAGCAAGCTTAGTTTTGCTTGGTTTTGGATTTTTACAATAGCTTATTTATGCTTATATTTATTTTATTTGAGTAAAACTAGCTCCGGAGGCTTTTAATGCCATTTTTTGCCAATTTTGATTTTTTTTTTTGTTTTTCTAGTCTTGTTACTTCAAGAACTGTTCTACTATCTTGCTACGGCTGTCGAATATGCATTAATTATAGCTTTATGTCAGAATATTTTATCACACCACGCAGAAAAAGCTACAATTTTTTATATTAAAAAAAATCGTAGATTTTTGAGACTATGGTCGGAACATTGTGTGATACTTGCACGCTATCCTTGTAGTAATATGGCAATACAGTAGCTGAATCGATTTCAACAACAAGACGGCTCGTATCTGAGCGAAATGCTGATTGTTGCGACTGCCCTTCATTTGCCAAATTTTGAGTCGTATAAAGAATTAATGAGACGAATTTGCTTGATTTCAATTTGAAAGGTTGCTTTGTACAAAGTTTTTTTTGTACAAAATTATGTTTGTTGCTTTGCTCTCAGCATGGTTGATTAGGTCATCAAAGTATTGAACGACCAGCTTCCACAAAACTTTTACGGGAAGTTGGACTGAAAAAAGACAGCCCCACCATCTATATTTTTCGCCCTCTGCAAAAGTATGAACAATAATGATCTTTCTTGCTTTTCATAAAAAAACAAAGTTTTCGTTTAACTTAGTTTGATTTTGTTTCGTGGTAAATTTAAGCTTCTAAAAGAGACTTTTTGATGCAAGAATTTAGCAAGTTTTTTCTGAGTTTGATTTATTGATGAGATTATGTTTTGTAACTGTAGACTCCCTTAAGTCCAAACTGTAGACATCCTTAATATAATTACCTATTTAAATTGAAAAACTGAAGAGTTTTTTTACCAGCTTGTTTTTTGTTGGTTTGACGTTTCATCGCGTTTCTGATTTCTTGCCTATTCCCAGATACAACTTCACTCTATAAAAATCTGAAATAGAAGCAAAAATGTATTCTGTGATTAGTTCTATAACATTACCAATTTTCGCGAGCCTGAATTTAAAAAACTTCAATTGCGAAACCATTTTTTTAACTTTCAAATAGACACTAGCCATACGACTCAATTTTTTTGTATACTTTTCGTGACACTGATACAACTCTATCCTGAACCTGATTTGTTTTCATAAATTGGATAGCTGATCTTCAAAATAAACAAATCTTTTTGATTCCATCGTTTCCTATTGTACAAAATTGAAGAGAAAAGATACACATAAATTTTTGAATTTTTCCTTGATTTCAACCAGTCTGAACTTTTGCTTGAAAAGTTTGGCTGAAATCAAGCAAAGGTTGAGCCTGGTTGAACTCAAAGAAAAATTCGAAGATTCTTGTGCAATTTTTCTTTTTAATTTTGTACATCAGGAAACTGTGGAATCAAAAATAATTGCTATTTTAAAGATCAGTTATCCTATTTATGAAATTGTTCATTTGACAGTTTTTTCATTTTAGTTTTGAAAAAAAGTTGAAATAATGAAAAAATGTTCCTTGAAATTGAACTTAGTAATAAAATATTCCGATAGTTTTTGCGCTATTTTAATAGAATCAATATAAAAGAAATGTAGACGAACGACTCTTAGCTACTTGCTAGCATATTAATCGATGAAACTACGGTTTTTAATTAAACTGCGGATAAATTGGAACCAAATTCATCTAATCACAGATATTTAGGCCCCGAACCGGTTCTGAACCTGCAACAAATTCCTTCCAATGAATTTGCCATTTTGTTGTCGTGGGATGAACCCGCCGACACCCGACGAATAAGGCCAGATGGTTATGAAATTACAATTACAACCTTAAGTGGGAAGACCCTAATATCCGCGTGGCTACTGGCTTCGACTCAAAACAATCAGAATGCCTACACTTTCGATTCATCGTCGATCAAATCTCTACCAGTTGCCACTGAATTCATATGTTCAGTGCGCACTTCAATTCCAAACCCCTGTCGATCAAAAGACGAATTTCAAGAACTGTTTTACGATTTCAATTTCAGCACTCGAAATATAAGCTGCAAAACTCGAGGTAAAATATTTATGATCTCTTCAATAATGCTCTCAGTCAAAAAAAAATTTTTTCGTATTGTTATATGAATCTTTTAAGAAAATTCCTGGATTCTGGAGCTTTCATAAATGAACGTAATAAAAACACTTATGTAAGTCGTCTTGATGATTTTTATATGATTTTTTCATGTTGTAAATCTTTTGGGGTTTGATTTAACTTTTAAGTTCAATTAAGTTCCTTCGTTAAATGGAAGGCAAATGGCACTCGTCTATAATTAAAGAGCATATGGAGCAAAAAAAATGTGAAAAACTCAAACTTGAAAGGGGATATTACTTAGATTTTTTAGCGAATAACCAAAAAAGTTTAACTAATAGTCCAGTTTACTCAAATTGGTTGTTTTATTTACAAAAAAAACAATTCTCATAAAGATTTCTTAAATTTCGAAGAAATTCAATGCCATTCATTTTTTTTTTCGTTAAAGAATTGAAAGTTAATTTATTTGAAAACCAAGTCAGTTTCTCTTTGCTTGCGTTCATCGTCAATTTTTGGAGTTGGTGCAATAAAAAAGCGGATAGTCAACGGCGAAATTGAGGGGGAGGTTGAGTGCCCCTCTCAGGAAATCGATAGACCCTTGCCAAGCAAAGGGTGCCCCCTTTGGTACTATTTGCTACACGAGTTATGATATGACCTATCAACACAAAATTGTTCTGACGCCCCCATTGGATTAAACATAAATGTTTGTGACCAGAAACTACTTAAAAGAGGGCAACAAAATAAATACTCTTCCGAAAAATAAACGTTTTCTGATTAGGTTTTGGCGGCGAAGCACAAGAACCCAGTTTCGCTTTCTTCAGTCCTACATTAATAATTCTCCAATGGAAAACGCCGGATGAGTTTTTGAACCAGTTTGAAGATGACTACTACTCAATTCTTCTCAACGGGCAAGAGAAGCATTCCGTCGCGCCAAATTCCACAGGTCGGTTGAATAACGGTTACAACATGAACACAACTCTGTAAAATTGGCAAATAAATCATCGCGATGAGAAATGGCCTTTTCCCACTCCAAAATTTTTCCAGGAAACTGAAATAGAGATTTTTTATGAAAACTTTTTATTAAAGTATATTCAACGTTCATCGTAAGATTTATCAGGGAAAAACAATCTTTTCATCTCACACTTATTAATGAAACTTGGTATAATCATTTTTTCTGCTTCTGTTAGTTTATTCTAAACTTTCTGTTAATTCAAAATTCTAGCCTTAATATGAACAAGACTGCTCGCATATCAGGGCAAAGCGCTGAACGTTCCGACCAGCCCTTATTCATATCAAACGGTTTTTGGCAAATTTGTTTTTTGAAAAACAATAAACTTTGGACAATATCAGAGATCATGCGTGAAAACTTCCATCGCGCAAAACTAATACGACCGACTAGCTTCAATTCAATTTGGAACGATATTGTTGTGCGGTATGTATCGCCACGCATAAATAAACTTCGTTACGCTTTCAGGATTATGGAAAAATCTACAAAGCTTGCATAAATTAGTCCAGAGCATGACCAAACGATTTTTCAAACTCCCAAAATTTTGCAAAAAATAATCGGAGGTAAAATATACCCATATAATTGTAATTTGGGAGTCAATATCTTCATTGGGGCATTAAAAATTTTTTTGCTCAAAACTATTAATTCGATCGCCGAAAATTCACTGATTAAAAAAACCACACCAAACATAAATATTCCGTTTTTTTCGAAGATCGAAACAACAAAACAAAACTGCTCGTATCAGGGCAAAAATCTTTAAGTTTTGACTGATTTTTATATTATATGGGGTATTGTTTGTTTGAAACATTATGAAGTTTGACAAAAAAATGCAATTTTCGAAACTTTTTGAAAACCGTACCCCACACGTCAAGTAAAGTACAAACCGTGCGGTAGTTGTCCTAAATTAGCCAAATTGGCAATCTTTAAGACCCACTTACTATACACAAAATAATAGCCCTCTTGATTCTTGAGGGTAGATATATAAACAAACTGAAAAAAAAATAGAATCATACCAGTTTGAAGTAAATTTATTCTAACAAGACTTCTCATATTTAGAAAAAATTTCAAAAAACAGTCGGTTTTTTTATTCTACACGCTATGTAAAATATTCAAGTGATTTATTTTGCCTCTGGTTATAACCAGAGGCAAAATAAATCACTTGAATATTTTACATAGCGTGTAGAATAAAAAAAACCGACTGTTTTTTGAAATTTTTTCTAAATATGAGAAGTCTTGTTAGAATCAATTTACTTCAAACTGGTATGATTCTATTTTTTTCAGTTTGTTTATATATCTACCCTCAAGAAAAATCTTTATAAAACCAGCGTTGAGATTGCTGCTTCTGAAATTGATTTGAGATCTGCCTACTACGCTAAGCCTTAATATAAAACTAGTTGGCAAATAGCAAACTGTGATGGATGTAATTTAAAACACATAGATTTTGCAAAAAAATCACAGCTGAAATCTCATATTAACTTCAAGTGCCAGCACCAACAACGTTGGTCATTTATGTGGATATTATCTGCTTATTCAATTAGCTTTGAAAATGGTTTATGTCTGCTGCACAACTAAAACTCCAAAAAGTCTAAATTTCAGTTTAAAAATCATCTTTAAAGAACTGCACTTGTGAAAGTGTCAAAAAGAGAATTTGAGTTTAACGTTCGCAAAAAATGATGTACCGTTTTCAGAGGCGGATCTAGAACTTTCTTGATGAGACGGAATTTGTCGACTTTTTGTTGTTCGACGATATGATTTTTCATGCTCCAGGCAAACTTCAGAAAAAAAGTCCTATATTTTTTGAAGGTCTTGTTTGGAAAATGTTCATTAAAAAATTCGCTCTTTTGAAGGATCAAAAGTAGTATATGTGGCACCAAAGGTGTCTTTAAAAAATTTTTAGGTTTGGTCGGCAAAAACTAGATGTCATAAAACAATATCAAAGGGGGACTCTTTGGATGCTGAGGAGGCTGAATCGCTGAGTTGAAGCGTCTTAGTATAAATCCAGTAAGCCAGGGCTTTAACGCAGTTTATATCAAAAACAATTGCCTTGTCTAAAAATGGATTTTTGTTCCGACTTTCGAATAAGTGATGGAATATTTGAGCTCGAGGTTGCTTTTTCCCAAAACAATAGCTAATTTTTTTCTAGACATCCAGCCATTTTTGACCATTTTGTTTGATATCATTTGAACGGTATTGCTGTCCTGCGCTCAAATTTTTTTAAAAAATTTGTAAAAATATGGGGCTTAAAAGATTGCCAATTTAGAAAATTTGGGACAATTAACGCATGATTTATTTCGTGCTCTTCATACATAGGCGGAGTTTTAATCCGTCTTAGAAATTGTTCCAAACTGAACAAGGGGTGTAGCGCGGGACATGAGGGCTAGTGAACCGTGATAAAGAGGATGAACGTGTTCCTTCGCGCTCGAGTTTTGCAGGAAAATGCAAAAGGTAGATTAAAATTGTTTTTGGAAAATTTTTTGTTCAAATCTATGAGGGGTCCAATTTTTTTTTAGATATGTCATACGAGAACGTCGAAGCATATCTATGCGGGGTCAACGAACAAAAAAATGTTAAGAAAATGTCTTTCGAGAAAGTCCAGAAGTCAGTCAAAACATACCGAAATGACGTCAACAAAGTCAAAACATACCGAACTTTGGTCGAGAAAATCGAGAAAAACCAATTTTTGGTCCAGAAACTTGACCCGGGTAGTTGTATTCGATACTTTGCTGTATGCAAAATCTATTACTTTGTACTTTACGAAGCCTGTGGGGATGATTTCCAGAAAACAAATCAGTTTTTTTTAAGTCAACACTGTTCCATCGACCTTCAAAGACAGTTGAAGCATTCAGGGCGTCGACCTGATACGAGCAGTCATGTCATAACTAAAAGTGAATTTCTTAATGTGAGAAATTAACAGATTTTTTTGATCATAGTAGATTATAGTGCTTCTTTGTACAATAAGTAGTGCAACAAATCGATCAGATTGTCTATGAATTATGCGTTTTTTTCCGAACAGATGACCTCAAAACAAACAATTCCTCAAACCTGACACATCACCCCAGAAAAAAAACGGAAAATCGACCTCATAAAAATCAGTGCTTGTAATTTTTACTCATATTTAAAGCTTTTCTCACAATCAAAAAAAATTTTTAGCAATATTGCAACTTTCGATATTTGTTTTTAAAAGTTTTATTTATTCAAGCTGAATTCTTATAACAGATAAGAGTTTAAGTTTTCAAAGCTTGATGCGGTATACTAATTGTCACGTGCACAATACTTTGTTTTAGCAAAGGTTTTATATTTCAGTTCTAAGTGTAGCAGTAACAATCGAGCTGTGTACCTCCCAAAATGTGACCATTGTGCCAAGGCGAGAAGGACTGGCTGCTCAAGTTGTCGAAATCAGCGTCAGGAACTGTACGTTTTTTTAATAGACCAATATCAGTAGTTTTTGTATCATTGAGTTCCAGAAAAAATCAAAATAATCCAAAAAACATGATCAAAGCTTGTGTTTTTCAAAAAAAAAGAATTGCCTAAAGAACATCTATTTTTAACAAACGACATGCTTTCCAAGTTTGTTTTTAGTTGATTTTGATCTGAGATGAAGTCATTACTTGAATGACATCGAGCTTCTATTAATTATTCAATATCCACTTTTTGAGTAAAATTTGCAACATACAAACTGGGAAACTGGGCTATTCTTAGACTTGTTCACTGGGTACTGCTGCAAGAGCTCACTTAGGCATCCGCTTTCTGAAAAGCTTTCATACTGACCTGTGGGTGTTTTGGAGGCCATAGAGACCTGGATCATTTGGTAGAGGCAATAACCAAATGATGAAACTTTTCAAGAAGATTAAATAAACCGAGAACGAGGGCCTTCGACATGCGAGTTTCGAAACTATAAGCATTTTCTTAAGTGAAATTCTGACAAAATTTATCCTCTCACTCAATCAAAACCATGCTTGATCGAAAAAATCATAGGACCAGTTGATAAAGTTTACTACTAACTTTTAGAGCTCTAAATACGAGAAGCTGGGATTTCAGAAAGTATCGAAATGTTCAACATTCTAATTTTTTTGAATTTTTTTTTGTTTCTGACTGTTCAATTCAATTTTTTTATGTCCGTTTTAAGTGCAGCGATGTGCAACTTAAATAGGTTCCTTGGTGGTTCTCTCAGAAGTAATTTTTTGTATAAACATAGTGGTGAATTGTTTAAACTCCGAAAAACAAATGTTTGGCTCAGAATGCATCGTTTTGGACTAAAAATCTGAAACTGCTGTAAACAGTTTTCATGACAAACAGAAATAGAACATAAAGTAGAAGTTTACACAAAAAATTCCCAAAATTTTTGTTCCTATGAAAATATCAATTGGTGCAAACAGTTATCTTTTTCTCAAAAATGAGATAACGGTGACCATTTTTAAGTTTCGAAACACGGTCAATAGAGATTTTTATGCTATTAATTTTTGAACACTGCGATCAGTTTTTGAGTTAACCGAAATGCATTTGAGAAAAAGTATCAAACACCATAGATTTTCCTCGTAATGTATTAAAAAAAACTTACAGCTACGGGGATAGAGCAACTAGTAGACAAAAAACTTATGAAATGATATGTAGAGTTGTGCAGTACTTTCTATGTTGATTTCAAATGTTTTCATGTATAAATGCATACCATCCATGTATACTCTTAAGTTCAATCTTTGTTTTTTTTTTTAAGATTTAAAACTGCCGCAAATTTTTTTAGAGCCTTCTTTATCTATCCTCCTCATGATACCTAGCAAAACTTGAGCTCCAAGAGACTAATTCAACGTATAAACTGAAAAAAATCATAAAACAAATTTTTGTTTTCTGTACTGGGAAGGAAGGAAACAGAGTTATTGCTTGGGATATTTTTTGGTTCATTTTTACTCCGATATTGTCCAAACATGTTGATTGCTTTGTTTTTGATGCTCAATTTTGACATGCACAACTTAAAATTTTCCGCCTTCAATAGTGTCTGATAGTTTTCACCTTTTTCACTCTAAGTTATAGACGATTTATTGAGCACAGCAAAGTTATAGGTGTCTTTGAAATGAGAAAAAATTGCAACGAAAGAATATTTTTATACAGAATTTAGAATCTGCCCAGCCTTTTTTTTCACATTTGAACTGAAATCGATAATCTGACCATTGATCCTTAAAACGAAATCCTTAAAACTATTAATCCTGCTTGCCGCGGGAGTCAGCAAGTCTTCAAAATTTAAAAGAGGAACCCATTGAAACTTTTGGTTTGAGGTAAATCAACGCCCAAAATTAGGCGTTATTTATGTTACACTCTGGAAAAATTTTGCTTTGTGTAAAAGAAAAGTTTTGCTAAGTTTTCAGCTAAAATTATTTTGTTTTTACTTATGATTCGGCAAGGTTTGACTCCTGATTCTATCCTTTTTGACTAATGATTTGACCGCGCTTGACTCATGATTCTTTTTTTTGAATTATGATTCGACCCCGTTTGACTGATGATTTTATGTTTTTTGACTCGTGATTCGATCTACGTTTGGCGTAGTTTGAAAACCAAGTGCCAACCCCCAAGCATCGGTTGACTGCCATGTTTGGCTGCCATGTGCCATGGACAGTGAAGTGGATTTTGTTTTTGCAGTAAATTTTAGCTCTAAATCTTTCAAAAAAGATTATCTCTGCGTCTTTTTTATGCAAATTTTGATAAAGCGTCGAATGCTATAAGCGAATTTTCAGCGAAGTAGATTTTGCTTCTTGTAATGAATTTTCTCATCTAGCTCTTAAAAAAGATTAGATTATTTCAACGCCTCATTTTTTTTTTCGATAATTGACATAGCGTAATCTGCAGTTGAATATTTCATTGAATTATATATATATATATATATATATATATATATATATATATATATATATATATATATATATATATATATATATATTCAAACTAATCAAATTTTGCAAAATACTTGTACAAATATAATTTATTTGTGTTTGTTATAGGGGAAGATGAGATTTCAATGAAAAGAGATTTGGGTAAGTTTTTTAATTGTCACGTGTCGAATTTTTCTCGAGAACTTTGTTAAAGCTTGTTGATGAATTTAGGACACTTCAGACGGGCTGTTATGGGTGAGTTCAGTGTTTTAGGTTATATTGCAGTACTTATACAAAGTGGGGACATTTTGGAAAAATTTGGCAACCAGAATTGAAGAAGGGTGGTCGATCTCATTTCAACTTTACCCCTCGGCACGCTACTGTGTGTGACAATGAGAGAATATAATTTAGAAAATTTTAAATTTGAATCTTTTCATTCTTATCAGTTTTATTCCTAATTGGTTGACAGCGTATGGGAGTCGATCGGGAAGTCTTTAGATTGCCAAGTGGGTATGCTGTATGCTTGCACTAGACTAAAATGCGGATGGCAACGCTCATTGAATATTATTTATATTTTGGTACGCGTATCGAAAAAAAAATCTTTTTTTTTCTGACCTGACATACTTCATATCTAATCTATATTTCTGGTCAGAAACTCGTTATGAAATGTTTAACTAAAGCAGGGATTTTCTTGAAGCTCTTCATTTCTCATCTTTTTTTAATTACAAATTAGCTAAATCTGGCCTATTTCTTGCTAGAAAATCGAACTCCCGACTGGCACTTTGCGGTTGTGCTATCCACTAGGCCACATGCCCTGACGAAGTATTATAGTTATTGCAACCTAATGCAAATTAACACTTGTTAAAGCAAGTGTTAACTTGCATTGTATTGCTACGGCTGTTCTGTAAACTCGAAGCAGGTTTATATCTAGTTGAGGCCAACTATAATTGGTGATAATAAGTCTACTCTAATCTCAAGCATGTGCATTTGATGTTGGCTGTACATAATGTATAGCTTATCAAAAAAAGTTTTAATCAAAAATTATTTGAGACCAGTTATGGGGTGGTCGGAACATTCAAGGCATTGCCCCGATATCCTTGAATGTTTCGACTGCCCCAAATTGGTCTCGAATAATTTTTGTTCAAAATGTTTTGATAAGCTTCTTGATAAGATATTGTTTTTGTCTTACTTGTTTTGAAGCATTAATGAAAGGTTCCTTTTTAAGAGCAATGCGGTGTTTGTCCTTCAAGGCTACTGGACCAAATATGCCAGATCCCATTTGAGCATAACGGTCAGCAATATAACACATGTGTCCCAATAACTTCAAAGAATGACCTGCAGTGCAAGGACAGATCTGTAAACATTTTAACATGCTACTACGATGAAGAAAATTTATGCAGTTTGTACTCAATATGTTTTGGATTCTCTAAATATTCTGTCCAAAATTACTTAAGAGCGCTCAGCTCAATTAAATCGAAATCGTTGTTGGCTCTATCATTCGCGGAAATTTTCAATTTCAGCCAATCATATTTGGACGGAATAAACAAAAATACATAAAGGAGTTCGGGTAAGCGAGGGTGAAATTGTAATTAACCCCATTTTGCTCAAAAAAATTATGAATCAAAATTAACAGATAACGCAATATATACTTTCTCCCATTAATCTGCGGATTTATATTTCTGGCAAATAATGATTTTGATGCCGTGTTACTATTTGTTGTGGCACCTTGAAATTTTTCTATTTCTCTAAAGTTGCATTTGAAATAATCTCTATTGTATTTAAAACAAGGCACATTTCTGAATGGCGTAGAATAGTCTCACACAATTCGGTCCCTGTATCATGGGGATGCACTTTTTTGTTTTCTGTAGAACCCCCTGAACCTAAGCTGGGCCCGATTTCATTCTCTACTCTCGTGGCGGGCCAAGCAGTTCGTATTTTCTGGAATGTGTCGTCTGATTTATACAACGACTTCGAACTCATTGTCAATGGACAGCCACAAGAACCAATAAAAACGACAAGTAAGAGAGCGCAGCGCTCACATCACTTTTCACTTCTCTTTTTGACCAATTTCGAAAAAATAAGACGTCAAAAAATCCGTTTTTCGATTGACGCGCAACGTGGTGTGTTAACATGACTCATAATTATTCCGAACTGAGTTGAGGCCAGCAAATTGATGTTTTCCAGTTTTTACTTTGGTATTTTTTAAGATCCATTTTTGGCCGACCGACCCGAAAATTTTTTGGGCGCCAATACATACTAACTTTGAGAGGGAGCGCGCGCCAAAAACAACGCAATTTTTTTTTGTAAAAATTTTCCAAAAAAGCCTAAAAACGCCTTTTATGGGCTGTTTTTTCAAAATTTTGTCTGCGGCGTAAAGAAAATGGCCAAAACAGGGAAATTCCTAGATCCACGCCTGATAACCTATAACCATTGTAACTTTTAACCTTGTTATTGGAACGCCAAGGCCGAGTGGGCCTTATATATCGAAAACGAAGTCCCATGATTTTTTTTAGAAACCTTAAGAAAGTTTGATTGCTGGGTGTGCCGGATATCAAGCCGACGGGACTTCAAGCCAAATCGTAAAATTAGGGACTTCAAGCCAAAAATTTTCCCATCAAGTCATGAAATATGATGAATTTGAAAACGTTTTGAAGAATTACTCAATTTCATGATATTTATTCAGTAGTTATCGGCGATTTCAAGAAATTTAAGCCTCCAACTGATGTTTAGGAAAGTTGAAAAATAAAACACGGTTGTAGGCAATTTTCTTGTTTATAATTTATGCATTTCAAAAACCGGCTGATATTATTAACGGATTTCAATCCTAAGTGATTCATTGTCATGAATAAAGTTTATTCTGGTCTAAACTTGCCTAAAACTTTTAAAAGCAACGTTTTACAGATAAAAAGTAGTGATTTGAGTTGTACGTAAAATTTATATTTCGGCCTGAAGTTATTTCGGCTTGAAGTCCCGTCGGCTTGTTGTCCTAGAGCCGATTGCTGGATATCAGCATGTGGGCAAAATTGAAATTGAGCGCTCGCGTCTCATCTAAAAACTATAACTCAAAATCAAATGACCGCTCCAAGAATATTGACTTAATTCAGCCAATCAGAATTCAAGAAACAATTATCATCAAAAGTAGCGCAATTTGAATAAAATACTAGTCAATTTGAAACCAACAAAGAAACTTATTTAAATGAGACCTTTCGAAATTGTCCCATCTAAACAAATAGGGGGGCAACAAACTTAGCTATTGATGATTATAAATTCAAAAGTTGCTCGTATCAGAAGGAGGCCCTGATTGTTCCGACTGACTCTTAAAGTCTATTGTCTATAGAGTAGTAAAAACATGAAAAAATTAATTGTAATAAACAAAAACAATTTTTTTAATTCATCCCCCACCTGCAGTATAAGGTACGAAGTGATAGATTTCGCTTTTAAAAACAAATCAATTATACTGCAAAAATTTATTGGAACGCACACAATCACGACTCAGACTTAGTTTTGTTATCAAAAGAAATTGTTAGACATAACTTTTGTGCTGATTTGACAAAAAAAATTCTGCCAAGGAATTGGGTCGTCAAAAACTAGACAGAATGTATTCTGCAGCCAGGAAACCACAAAATTCCCTATTCAATAAATCGAAACAGAAGCCAATTACTGCCCCCTACTTCGCCAAATATTAGCTCGTTTTTTGTACCTACACTTTGGCAAAAACAGACACTGGAAAAATCTTCTTGCTTGTTTTGAAAAAACTCAGTTGGAGTCGCAACATTTTGCACCCAGGAATTTTTTGACAAAATTTCAAAAATCGGACACACTGTTGTACATGATGGAGCCTTTTCCACAACCCCTCGTCTATGAGAGCCAGCTTTTACAAATTTTTAAGTTGTGGACGAGCAAAAAATCCCATTTGAAGGCATTTTTTGAGAGGGAAAACAGATACTCATTATTTGTATATATTAACTGCTCAGCATACAAAATGTCTTGCGAGCTTTAATCAACCAATAGAGCCCAAAATGTTGGTTTCCGATTTTGAAACACGTCGCTGTAAAAAATTATATATCCAGTTGCTCTCAGATTGAGAGTGCAATAGTCAAAAATTCCCAATTTTCTCAATTACATCAAAAAATTTTGATTTTCAGTTATCGAATTAAAAATATGGAAAATTTTAGTCGATCCAATAACTTATTTTTGACTCATTATTGCAAAAATCGGGACTCGTCGTGGTTTTGGGAAATCAGAAGGGTAGGGCCTTCCACTAGGACGAAAGTTCATCATCTAAAAAAGCAAGAAAAACTGACAAAATTATTCTGCAAAAAAAATCGGCAAGGAGAGAGGCCCCCGACTCAAAAACCATATGGTGGATTGCAAAAACTCGGCAACAACATCATCTCAACGATATACAAAAAAGTAGTTTTCACAAATAACGGTCCATTATTGGCCTGATTTGCCGCAGTTTGTGAGAGAACTTAAAAAAAACAGAAACCCAGTAACTTCCTTTTTCTCAATTTTGCTTTTCTTTATCTGGGATATCGAAAAAATTCTTGGAACTTTGTCTAACTTTGTTTGCTGCGCTTCAATTGATTCACGCGTTTTAGCTTACTTTGTTTACTGCTCTAACTATTATAATTACGCATGCTAATTGACACACGTGCTTATCGCTACAGCCCCGAATTAAGTTTTGGTAGCTTCAATACGTAAAAAGTTTATGCGTGGCAGCTATCAGCTCTCATAATCGTTCCAAATTTAATTGAGGCTAGCTTTTTGGTATCAATAATTCGACACACGACTCAGACTTCGAAAAACTAAATTTTGATATTATCAGGCTGAAGCTCGTAGTTTGTCAATATATCATTAACCAAAAGTTCTTTGAGACCAAATAATGGGCAGTCGAAACATTCAGGGCTCTGCCCTGATACGAGGCAGTCTTGTTTTTTTTTGGTCGTGCAGTGCGCTTTTGAATTTCTTTCAGTCGCAGCGATCGCGATGAAATTTTTTTTTGATCGCGTCGGTCGCACTTAATTTTTCTTCGATCGCTCCTGTCGCGTCACATTGCTTAGGTATGGAAGTACCAAATTCTGCTCGTGGTGGTTTGAAAATACTTATATCTGATCTGGATTTTTTGGAAATTTTATGATTCGGCTGCGACAGACTGGTCATAAAATAACAATCTCGACCCGGATAGGTTTAAAGAATGACAGGGCATTAAAGTAGCAAAACTTTAAAGAGACATCAAAGTTCAAAGTTCGCCGCTTTCTGGTTGAAAACTTCTATTCAATGGCTGTTTCTATTATGTTTTTGTTTAAGTTTTTTGTTTCAAAATAAAATATCTGGTTTAAATATTTGCTGACTAAGCAGCTGCTGAACGAAAAATAAGGCAAGTCATTACAAATATACACTTTTGGCCAACATTTTTTTTCCGAAAATGTTGAAAAAATTTATCAAAATTACTGTCAAACTATCGATACGCAAACGCTTTTTTATTGATACAAAAATTTTAAAAAATATCTAAACATTCTAAACAAATTTAGGATGAATGATAAATGAAAAATCTGATTATTTTCCAAAAACTCAGCGCTACGTTTTGCGCAAACTACTTAATTCTGATTGGCTGAAAAAAGCAGTGGTTTTTTAACCATGTGAGCATGTGAGCGTTATCCTTCATTCATTTAGATCAGGGGGATCATTTAATTGGTTCGAATACCTGTTTAGTGCAATGGTAAGAAGATTTTTTACTTCATTTGACCTGTGCTTGCATCGTTGCTCAACTTTTTGTTTCGAACTTAATTTAAAGTTTCTTCATAATTTTGACCTACTGTTCGACTTTGTCAAAGAAAAATTGCGATAGTGCTAAAAAGGGCATATTGAACTGAATTTGATTTGCTTTCAGATCTCTCAAACAATCGGGTAGATACGTGTGGAAACGACATCCACCTCCCCCCTCTCTCATGCGTAAACGACTCCCACCCTTAGACCAACAGAACACTATTTTGCAATCGGATGAAATATGCTGATATCGAAATACAAACAAAATTTTCAAGATTTTAATCGAATGAAATCTGCCGTAAGACAAAATTTTTGCAAATCATTTTGAACGTAAAATGTCAAAAGGTTAATCCACAAATTTGTTCCAAATATATAATCATTTTAAAGACAGAAAGTTTTAAAGTTCGATGTCGTATAGAATTGCCAATAACCTTTTTTTAGCATTCAATGCGACCAATTTGACTGGAGGTTTGGCTTATGAAATACAAGTGTACATGAACAGCTTCAAGCGACGAATTGGACCACAAATTCTGATCTTCAACCTAAGTGAGTGATCTTTAACAACCAAATTTTGGTGGTTTAATTCAGACCCCAAGTATAAGTCAGGTATTGTATGAACCAGTTTTGCAAGATTGATTAGTTTTGACTTCAATATCTTGAAAGATTTTGTAAGACTCTTGCAAGAATCTTGCAAGAATGATTATTTGTTAATGGGCTATCTTGTAAGATGGCAGTTTTCTACCAGAGTCTTGCAAGAATCTTGCTAGAATGATTAATTGTTAATCGGCTATCTTCTACGATCTTGCAAGAATCTTATAAGAATCTTGCAAGATAATGTAGTTTTCTACCAGAATTTTGCAAGAATCTTACAAGATCTTACAAGATTGGCCATTTTTATCAACTAGGGCTCTGCGCTTATAATTCGGTGGTTTTTCTACTATCTTGAAATCATGCCCACAAACAATGACAGTTTCCAATATGAGCGCTGCTGTATAAAGCTTTCTAGCATATTTTTGAAGTATTGTTGTTTTAAATTTTAAAGAAATGTGGTAGAATATGTGGGCTCGGGATTTTTTAAATAAATGTTATAACCAATACTAATAGATACTTGTTGCCAGCAATTTTGGATAACTTGAAGAACTTTGAGCTATTTAATGCGCTTTCCTTTTTAAATTTTTTAAAAGCCCGTAGCGCAATACGCAATCAGTATATACTTAGCAAACAAAACGACTCAAAAAGTACATCAAAATGAATTGAGGCCTGATGATTGGTCCAAATAACGCATATCTGATGGAATTTATTTTATTAATTTGTATTCAATATGACGTGTGAAGTGAAGACTGAACTTCGAAATAGTTAAATAAATGATACTTTACAGTTATATCTTATCAGCATACTAACAAAAGAAAATAGCCCGAACACAGTGGTTTTTATTGTTCCAAACACTCGAAGAAATTGAGGAATATATATATATTCGGGATGGTTTTTTTGTTAGGATTAATTTCACAAAACTTTTTGCTCCCTCGAGGAAGCGCTCCCTTGATCTGCGTGGGCCCAGCCGGGAGCACACACAACTATTTTTACCTGCAACGAGTCAGGCAAAACTGCTCGTTTTCACCTCTACACGTGGCGAATTATCCCGCAGTACAAAATCGTTCCAAATTAACTTGAGGCTGCTAATTGGTCTTGTAAATTCAATACACGACTCAAATTTTAACCCTTAATTTTTGATATTATCAGTCTAAAATTCATAGTTTTGCCAATAATTAATTTACCAAAAACTGTTACGGCTAACCAGGGCGGATCTAGGATTTTCTCGAGGGGGGGGGGGGGGCGGTTTTTCAAAAAACTTTTGAAAATTTTGTCAACCTTCTTTTCCAAGTCAACCAAATTGAGTTTCCCAGCTCTCCCAAAGCACTAAAAAGACCTTGTTGATGTCCAAATTTTCTGCTTTTGTGCGCCGCAGGCAAATTTTGAAAAACAGGCCAAAAAAGTGTTTTTAGGCACTTTTGACCAGAAAATGTGTCCAAAAATTGTGACCTTCAATGACAAACAGTCGGCTCTAAACTGCTCTTTTTTTACTTGCCACAAATTTAAAACATCGTACACTTATTCAATGGCGAATCTCAACACTTTATTTGATGAAATGAAAGATACAGAAAATAAATATTGATCCTAAATTGAAAGGCTTATTACAAGGGCTAATTGAGACTGTAAATACTAAGGATGATATCATTGTTGGATTGCAAGCAAAATCGGGTGAATTTTCTAGAGAAAAAAGTTAATGAAATGGAAAGATATAGTTCAAATGATTGTGTTATTTTGCAAAACTTACCTTTATATTCCGGAAATTTTACCCAAGATGTCCTGGCCTTTTTTAACGACGTTACGGGCGTGGAGGTGAATAGCTACGACCTGAAGGCATGCCATCCCCTCGGCGCTGTGAGTCAAAACCAAAAACATGTGGTTATAGTGAAATTTGTCTACTTTGATATAAAAAACAGAATTTATGGCAGAAAAAATTTATTGAAAGATTTTTTGCACCCTGTAATTAAGCAACCAGTGTATATCACAGAGAAACTTACTCAGCGCGATTCAGAGCTTCTTGATTATTCTCGGGGTTTGGGAATGTACACACTTACATATAATTGTGCTCCTCAGTTTTCGTTTTGAAAGCAGATGGTGGATTTCAAAGGCAAAACTTAGTTGATATGAAGGATGCTGATCAAATTTTCAAAAATAAGAATCCAATGATAGCAAGACAGGCAAAGAATGTTAGAAATCAAAATCCTCGAGTGGTACAAAATCATCAAAACAACTTTTCTCGCCCTCCCTATGTTTCAGTGAGGAAACGTGACGGAGAAATAACCCCGAATAATGTGGAAAAAAATCAACTGATTGATGAATTGTACAGTAGGATATCGGATCCCGTCAAATTGGTACATTGTGGAATCGTTTCAAAAAGATTCTCCACAGTCCAAATTCGTCAAAACGGAAAAATTACTAATGAAAATGACTTTGATTAGTGGCAAAAGCATTTCAAATCTAATTACAGTTTTTTGCCGTAAATCTCTTTTGTTTTCATTTTAGAAAAATCCTTTTGCGAGATATGACTGACCTGAAAACAACGCAAACAGCATTTTTCCTAAATTTTCAATCCACAAGAGCCCATCATGACCAATTATCAGTTTTAATTGAAACATTTGATAACAAGCCTGCATTAATCGGGCCGACTGAAACATGGCTCTCGGATAATGTTCCTATTGGCATTTATAATTTAAAAGGTTATGACAATATTTTTTGTGCAAACCGCGTAAAAACTAGAGGTGGAGGCATTGCAGCTTTTATTAAAAGTAGCCTTAATTTTAGTTCTTTTAAAGTATCAGTCAGTTTGGAGCACATCCTTATCAAAATGTGTTTTTTCGATCTTCCTCCGGTAAATATTTGCATAATCTATTGTCCACCAAATCTCAAACTAGACCTTTTTTTGAAACTATTTGTAATTTATTGCTGGAAATGAAAGCATTAAACGGTGAAATTTTGCTAATGGGTGATTTAAATTTCGATATGATAGGTAGCCAGCGCAACTTTATTGGCTATAAAAATCTTCTGCTTTCTTTTGATTTAGAAATTCAAAATACCGAGCCAACTGATGTAAGTAATATATCAAGTACATGCAATGAACATATAATTGCGGCGGAGAAAACTCAGGTAACAACCCTAAATTGTTCTATTAGTGATCATTGTGGACTTATGTGTGACCTAAAATTTAGTTCACAAAAGCGAAACGTGGATTCTTATCAATCGGACTTGAACTATGATTTACTACTGAATGATGATTAATGTTTAAAATTTTCGTTTTCGCTAAATAACCGTTTGAACTAAATTGATGATGATGATTCTAACATTTACATCATTGAAATGACCCAAACCTTGATTGATGAACTTTCAAAGTATTGCCCAAAAAATACGAAAAAAGAATAAAAACAACCACTCATGGATTAATCTGAAAATTAGGAGAATGATGAATAAACAAAAGGTGTTTTACAAAAAGAGGGTTCAGACACCATCCAGTGAAAACAGAGATCATTTCACCTCATGTAGGAACAATGTTTTTAAGGCAATAAGGGACAGTAAACGCCGGTACTATGATAACATGATAACGTGGAAGAAGAACTCGTCCGGAGTTTTTGATACTTTCTGTGGTAAAAAAAATGTGAATACTGCTTCGTTTATTGTTAATGTTTTCAATGAACACTTTGCTACTATTGTAGAAAAACTAACAGATAACTTCAAACAAAACGTGTATAGACCAAATTTTTCAGTTAATAAAAACACGTTCAGAATATCTGATACCAATCGATATGAGATACTAAAGGAAATGAAAAACTTGAACAATAAAAAGTCTACTGGTCATGATGGGATATGTAGTAAAATGGTAAAATTTTCTGCTCCGGTGCTGGCTGGCCATTTAGCGCATTTTTTAATATCTGCTTCAAAAAAGAGTGTTTTTCTAATTTTCTCAAAATTGCAAAAATTTTACCTTTGCATAAAAATGGCGACAAATTGAACCCAATAACTACCGTACAGATAGTTCGTTGTCTTGTTTAAGTAAATTTTTTGAAAAACTAATTTTCAAGCGCATATCCAATTTTGCCGCTATAAACAGCTTGATTGATAGCATTACTTTGGCTTTCGAAGCAATCATTACTGTACTCGTGTCATTTTGTCCATTACTGATTTTTTGCGCGAATCAATTGATAATAAAAAATTAGTTTACTCCTGCTTTATTGATTTGAAAAAAGCATTTGATAAAATTCATCGGAAAATTTTGCTTGAAAAACTTTATCAGTATGGGTTTAGAGGGAAAATTCACAAGTTAATAACAAATTATCTTACAGGGAGAAATCAATATGTTTATTCGATCCAATCGGTCTCGAATATGCGAGAATGTACTAAAAGTGTTCACCAAGGTTCAATTTTGGGGCCATTTCTGTTCCTTTTACACAGAAATGATATGCCGCGGCCAGCAACGCTAAACTAACATTATTTGCAGATGATACAACGGTAGTTGTTGCTGAAAAGTTTGAATCCGAAACGAAACTCCAGACAGAATTAAGTAAAATTTGTAATTGGTGCAACAAGAAAAAACTGCTCATTAATCAAAAGTAGTTCAAAATAATGATGTTTGGACGGGAAATTTTGATTGAAAAATTTTATTTTCGGAAAAATGTACTCGGCGAGGTTTCTGATTTTAGGTATTTAGGAATTCAAAGGGACAACAGATTTGAATTTGAAAGTCATTTAATAATGTTTGTGGTAAATTAGCTAAATTTAACGGCTTACTATTCAAAGTTAGAAACTATTTCTCGAAAAATGTGCTTATTAAATTTTATAACTGCTATGCAAAGCCAATAATTTCGTACGGTTCAAATTGCATTTAGTGCAACATCAAAAAACCTATTAGAAAAAAAACTTGTGTGCAAAAATGTATTCTTAAAACTACTTGTTTCAAGAGAAAATTTGATCATACCTCATATATCTTACATTCGTTTGAGGTTGAAACCGTTTTTGACCTATTTTTCAGACAAATATTCAAAAAAACTTTTAATCATCTTCGTGGTAAAAACCCCCTTGAAACTTTTAATTTGGAATCTCTGAATAATCATTGGGTTACTCGTGCCTCCGTGTTAAAAACTTTACCAAGCGTGAAAACTTTCTTAAATAATGCAGCGTTCATGGAAAAATGTGTCTCTTAATTGTTGAAATTTTTTGAAATCAAACGAACTGATACCAGATAATCTAAACCACTTAACTGAACATCAACTAAATGGGTATTTCAAAAACTTGTTTCATTGTTTCTTAAAGACAATGGAGATCTTATAGATTTGGCTTTTTGAATCATCATTCGGATATTATCTCGCAACTTCTGCCATAGGTTTTTTCAGGGTCTTGCCTAGATAAGCTGCATAGCTTTTTGCATGATCTTTGGTGGGTTTTAATTACACATGCGTTGATTGTTTACCTGTCTGTATAATAATACTCTTGCAGAACATGCACACTTCAAATTTAGGCTGAAATGGAAAAACCAAAAGTGAAGCGAGTGGTAAAACATTACAATTCAAAATACTGTTTTCAAATTTTTCCGATGAGACATTTTTCTGGAGGTGCCACCCGACAGGGAGATGCCTTTTTGGTATCCTTCAAAGCCAAACTAAGTTGTAAACATACATTTTCATAACATGTATTCTTATATAAACTAACTTGAATGTCAAATTTTTGTGACAATTTACAATTACAAACTCAACTGTTTGTTTTGGAGCAACACTTTAATTGTTTAGACTGCCATTTAAAGTCAATAAAAATGCTTTTTTAAAATTTGATAAATTAATCCAGGAAAAAAAACAAATGATTTGGAAAATTTTCATTATATCTTTCCTTCAAAATGACAAAATCGAATTGTTATGAAAAAAATACCTTCCCCATTGCTTCGACTATTTTCAAAGGAAACGAAATTTTTGTGCTCGCGATGGTTTTTTTCTCCAGACAAATTTCGACTTTTTAACTAGCATTTTTGAGCTTCCATTTAAACAAGACTGCTCGTATGAAGGCGAAGCCCTGAATGTTCCGACCGCCTTTTAATGTTTACGGAGCAGTTATAACAAAAAATTAAATGAATTACAACAAAATGAAATTTTTTTCTCTAAAATTTGAATTTTTTTATGAAAATCATCCACCCACACGCCATATTAAGTACAAAAGGATAGGTTTTGCTCCTTGCAACAAATCAATTATGGCAAATAAGTTTCTTTCAACCAATTTCGAACAATTTCTAAGACGGATTAAGCGGTAATAACATTAAAAAATGATTTAAAACAAACTGAATTTTTTTTCCAAAATTTGAATTTTTTTTAAGGAAAATCATCCCCCCACACGCCATATTAAGTACGAAAGGATAAATTTTGCTCCTTGTAACAAATCAATTATGGTAAATACGTACGTATCTTTTGACCAATTTGGAACGATTTTAAGACGGATTAAATCTCCGCTTACGCGTTATTAGCGCCAAATATATTGCGAGTTAATTGTCCCAAATTGGCCAAAATGGCAATCTTTAAACCCCCGTAACTTTACGAAAAATGATCACAGGTGAAATATCTTTTCAAATTTGGGCTCAGGACAACAATACCTTTCAAATGATATTAAAAAATGTCGTCAAAAATGGCTAGTTAAAAGTCCGAAATTTGTCTGAAGAAAAAAACCCACCCCGAGCACAAATATTCCGTTACTTTCGTATCGAAAGTTGAAACAAAAAATATTTCAACTGTGAACATTTTAAAGAAATTATAGGGGTTTAAAGATAGCCAATTTGGCCTATAGGGGACAATTAGCGCGCGACAATTTTGTGCTATAAACGCGTGAGCGGGGATTTAATCCATCTTAGAAATTGCTCTAATTTGCATGCTCTTTGGTATATCTAATACTTGGGTATAAGCAATGTTTATCACTTTGTGCTTTAAATAGCGTGTTGCAGGATGATTTTTTTCTTTTCATTTTAGAAAAAAATGTCATCCCTTTCTGAAAGTAAGCACTGCTCCATATACCTTAAAATGCAGTCGGAACAAGCAGGGTTTCGACCTGATACGAGCAGTGTTGTTTCAATTTGGAATGATCTAATTAGCCGCTTACGCTAAAAAAGCGGGAGATAAATCACGCATGAATTGTCTTAAGTTGGCAACTTTCAAACCACCATAACCCGCACCGAAGTTTCATGGGTAATAATCGATTATAATGGATTTTCGTTGACTAAAATGTTGTCTATATAATCGATTATCATGTCAAATTTAGACCACGTAATCGATTTTTAATCGATTATAATCGATTATTTTGGAACAATTTAAATCCATTATAATCCATTTTAACCGATTATAATCCATTTTTGTTTTCAATATAATGGATTATTTTTTGTACATAAAATCCATGAAAATTGAATCAATTTTGTAAATAATGACTCTAATTTTTGCAATTTTCTGCAAAACTCGAACGAACGCGTTCATCCAGGGGCGGCCAATTTGTAGTAATTTTCAGATTTTCCAAAAAGTGCCCAAAAACAGCATTTTTGACCAGCTCCTCACGTCAACCCCCCGCCCCAACGTACCCCCCGCCCCCCAACGTACCCCCTAACCCACGACGTACCCCCGTCAAGTACTCCCATCCCTCCAACGTACCCCCCCCCCAACGTACCCCCAACCCACAACGTACCCCCCCCCCCAACGTACCCCCATCCCCCCACGTACCCACCAACCACGGCGTACCCTCCCCCTCTCTCTAGTTAGGTGACATATAACTGTAGTACGGGTAAGCATGGGGGGAGTTGGTGTGGGATCTATAGGTAACTTTTTGTAATTTTTCATAACTCGATTGAAAATAGGAAAAAATGAAATTAAGCGAGAGAACAAAATAAGAAACTTAAGTTTAACAAAGTTATGAAAAAATGAAAACAATACACAAAAAGCTTTGGATAAAAAGATTATAATCCATTATAATCGATTAAAATGGATTATTTTTCTTTTGATAAAATTTTTTGAAAATAATCGATTATAATCGATTATATTGGGATTTTGTTGCTTAAAAACATTATCATTATAATCCATTTTCAATCAATTATAATCGATTATTTTTGTTATTTTGTAGAGACTGACAATGAAAAACAAATATAATCAGTTATTATCCATGAAACTTCAGTGCGGGAACTCTACAAAAAAATCTCGCAGAAACAGTCTGGGTGGGGGGAGGGGGATGAAAAAAAAGCCATTGTTTTATATGAGAGAATTCGAAGAGCGACTATATGATTTCCAAGGCCTTGCAAAATTTTGCCAAGATGATAATAAAGCTTCCAATTAACAAAAACATTTTGCCAAGATGACAAAAAAGCTTCCAATTAACTTAACTATTTTGCCAAGATGACAATAAAGCTTCCAATTAACATAACTGTTTTGCCAAGATGATAATAAAGCTTCTAAGTAACATGGCTAGTTTGTCAAGATCAGGCAGGGTCTTGCATGATTTTGCACTATTTTGCATGTTAATTTGGAAAGATCTTTCTTGATATTGACAAGGTTTTCCAAGATTGCTACCCGGTTTGCTATCACCGACCAGCTCGTTGATTTGTTCCAGGTAACTCTGATGAAAATTTGGCATCTTCGAACATCACTACAAATTCAGCTACCTTGATAGTCGCTTTATCTGACCCAGGGGCACAACTAAACATACCATCATCTTCATCATGTGCAGTCAATCAACTGCAGCTTACAGCTGAAATTGAAGAAGCTGACTATGTTTCCTTTTTCATGGCACAAAACGAAATACTGTCGAAGCGCTCTTCCGAAAGAGTGGACGTTTCTAGCATACTGCAAATAGATCAGTTGGACGCTGGCCTGCTGTTTTGTTTTCACGTGTCCCCCGTTAATGCGTGCACTAATGGAACGATCACAGAAAGAACAATGTTCAACTGTGCACCAATTGGTTAGTGCCAGATTATGTGAACTTTGTGTCTTTTCAACTGGCGCTAACCAGTGAAATTAAACGCCAACCAGGCTCGAATATAGGGGGAGCGATGCAACCATTCAGGGATTCGAACCTCTTTCCTTTTTGGTACTATTTCACGACACCCAATTCTGACCGACACTTAAGCTTTTCTAAAGGCGTCTTCGATGCCAATATATACTAATAATGAGTGGCTAACTCGCCAAAAAATGCGACTATTTGGAAAATTGTTTTAAAAGTTCTTAACAATTTTATTTTTTATTGTTTTATTTTCAAAACTTGAAGTTCTTTTCAAAATCAAACCTTCTTTGGCCCCACCCATGGGAAAAACATTCATCAGCTGGAAAGGCTATAAAAAGAGCCAATTTTTTCAGCGTAGAAGTTAATTTTCAACGTACTTTTCATTAAAACTTTTTTCATGTTATTCGTTGTAATGGTTGCGAACAGGTTTTTTGAAACACGAGTTGTTTGAGAAAAAAATTGACCACCGCCAGATCTTAAGTGGTGATTTCTAAGATCACACAACGTGCATCAAGTCAGAGGCGGATCTAGGATCTAGGATTTTCTCGAGTGGAGGGGGCAGATTTTGAAAGTTTTGTCGACCTTTTTTTTAGGTCGATCAGATTGATTTTCGGAGCTCTCCCAAGTCACTGTAAAGACGCTATTTTGACAAAAATTTCTGCGCCGCACACAAATTTTTGAAAAAAAAAGACAGGCGCCAAAAAAGGGATTTTTAGGCACAGTTTGGAAAATTTTGACCAAAAAATCGCGTTTTTTCGCGCGCGCTCACCCACTCCCATCAAAATTAGTATATAAGTAAATTTTGGCTCCGATGGCGCCTTTAGAAACATTTTAGGGCCAGCCCCTAAATGCGCTGGTGATTAAATTTTTGAAACGAAAACGAAATCTGCAGTAAGACAAAATTTGGACCAAAAGTTTTAATCAGTAGCGGATTTAGGGGTGGGGGGGGGGGGGGGTGGGGGTGGGGGGGATGGCGCTCCTTCTCGTCAAAAACTTGCTAGATGATCCGCACCTGGTTTTAACAAACCCCAGCGGATACACCAAAAGATCCGAAAAATTATTTGAATTATTGGTACAAATTGTTTTTTGCTTCATATTGTTCGTATGCAACTTTTTACTTGTAATGGCTGGCGATGACTACTGGTGCGCTGCATCTACGAATGTCCAAGATACTTCTCAAACTTAAAGATTTTGATAAGAAATTGTATCCCTTATTTGTTTTGGTTTTAGACTATCACTGCTAGGTAATTTGGGAAGCAATGAAAATCTTGTTACCTACGCCCCCCCCCCCCCCCCAAATGCAAAAGGGGTGGAAATTTCCAGCAAGATATAAACTTAAGTAATCACTTAGAAGTGGAAGTTCTTTTCAAAGAGGGAGAGTTATATTCCAGCAATGGCATCTGTTCCGTATGCTGTGCAATTTTTTGAGTGCGATAGGTCCCCTATTTTTCAAGAAAAATGAACTCACAGGAAAAAAAAACGGGATTAAGTGGGTAAAAGAGTTTTTTGTTGTAGTGCCACAGCCTCTGAACGAGCTGACCAGCAATCTAACATTGGTAGCTGCGAGTGGTTCCAATGATGACGCTGTCCGCATCAGAGCGATGCTGAATCACAGCACAGTCTCTGAGTTTGTAGATGTGAATGTCATTTGCACCGTCCCCAACATAACACTGATCGAAAGTAAGATAACCTTGTTCATAGTTTAGACAATCTATTTTGTTTGTAGTTTAACTTCCTATGCTCCCATACTTTAATGTTTTTGAGAAATTTCAGTCTTTATTTTTCCAAATTAAATTACATCTACAGAATTTGTTATTATAAAGGTCAAAAAATGAAGTTAGTTTGTTGCAGATCAAACTGTTTAGACAAACAAATTTAAAAAAATTGGTTGTTTTGATTTATTCAAAGAAAAATTATTTTATATCAAAACTTTTGTTTCCTCTTGTCTTCGTTCAGACATTTTTTTCAAAAACGGAAAATTTTTCCAAACCTTTACTGAGAAAGTATGATTTAACTTGTCATAAGTAAATGGCTAAACTGAAAACACAACAATACATCTGTGAAGAGCAAGACAAATCTTTTAAACGTTGACTTCGAAAAGTTGTGAAATCAACAGGGTTTCTCTGGTTAATAACAACAGTTTTTCTGAACTCTTTTGAGACTGAGTAATAACTAGGTGTCTGATTTCGATTGAAAAACTACTGACCAAAACTAAACCAAAATTATTCGCAATTTTGAACTTTTTACAAAACAGAAATGACTGAGATTGAATGATGAGCCGATGAGGATAGGCAGATGTGTTCTTTTTGTATCACAAACGGAACTCCGCGTTCATTCCAGTCATAAAGTTCAACCAAATTTATCAAAAACCTCTGAAATATGAAGTCGCTAAAATATGAAACCAAAATAAAACACATCGGCTCGTATATCAGGACAAAACCCTGAATGTTTTGACTGCTCATATGGTCTAAAGAACAGATCATTTTTCTAAATTTTCAAAAATAAATTTAAAAACTGAAAATAAGTTCCTTTTCATGCTATGATAAGTACAGCTTTATGTTACTGGTGTCTATCCATTTAATGATAATTCAAGATAGCTAGCCTCATATTCAATGAGAACGATTTCTGAGCCGGATTTATTTGATGTTTATGGCTTGATAGAACAAAATACATCGCGCATTATTGTCCCAAGTTTGACAAATTAATAATTTTCAAATCGCTATAATCTCAATTTTGTGTCACAGAATACTGAAAATTTTTTCTGTCAGTATTTTTTAAGGGTGGATGAACGCAAAATAATTTTCAGAAAACGTCTTAAATTTTGTATAGGCTTTTGATTTTGGATTTTGATTTTGTACAATTAATTGATTGTTTCGTTGAAAAGAAGCCGAAATACTATTGAACTGCAAAAACTTTCATGTCCAGAAAAATGTGATCAAAATCTAATTGCAAAGTAGATTTTAATTTCGAGCTTTTCAAGCAAAACTATTATTTTTAAAATCCAGTTTTCTCATACAAATTGGGTTAATTGTATGAAAACAGTGTCAATCATAATCTTTCCTACAAAGACAGAGAATTTTAGAGCCATGGCCATCTGTTTAGATCTCAGAAGTTTAAACATTAAGGTTTTGGCACAACAAAACAATGTTTTTCTTGCATTCATCAATTTCTTCTTGCAATTATCGACTTTTTTTAACCGTCTGTTGAATATATTTTGGTTTCTTTTATTTCGTCCAACTTTTTCAAAAGCTTGATTTAGACTCATTTTAAACTTTCTTGAAAAAACTCGGCTGATGTTTCTCTCCTCCAAAAACTTTACTGAGCAAATCTTCACTGAGCAAAACAAGGTAGAAAAATTTCACTGAACAAATATCTATTCGCTAAGAACTGTGTAAAATAAAGTCCAGTCAATAACCCCGAAGGCAGAAAAAAAAGTAAATACGAATGCAAAAACGGTGCTAAAAATCAATTATTAACTTTAGGTCATTACACTAATTTGCAGGAAAATGTGGCAAATATTATTATATCAACTCTGTTCCAGACGATTTTTCAGTTTTTGAATTATTTTTTGGTAAACAACTTAAAAATACGTACTCTATCGAAACTTTTTTGCTTGTCTGCCTATAAAAGTTCCGTATTTGATTAATAATGACAGTCTAGTATTGTAAAAAGTGAATAAAATAAAACCTTAAAAAAGTCACTAGTTGTTAATAAAATATGGTTTTTTTGTATCTTTTATTGTTAATCAAACTTAATTTTTTAGATCATAGGATAGCAAATTTAAAAAAACATGGAAGTTCAAAATTATTTCAGCCGGCTTTTGAGATTGAAAAAATTTTAGAACAGCAAAAAATTGATCGATCTAGTACTGATTTCTCACTAACTAGGGAAAGCTCAAGCAGAAATCAAAAAAATCTCGCGCATCAATTGTTTTTTGATTAAATATTTAGCTGTATTGAATTCTTTTATTTACACAATTTTTGAAAAACGCAAAAGCAGATACTTTCTTGCTAAGAAACCCAGTAGCTCCAAAAGGACTTCAATGTACAACAAATTTATGTCCCCGGCAATTCGCACCGTTTTAGATTGTATAAAATTTTTTTTTCTAATAATGCTTGCATGCATCACAAAAATATTGGCCTAAAACCTCTTTTAGGGCTGTTATTGTAACTTGAATTTGTTTTTAAAAAAATTTAAAAAGCATGTTTCTAATTTTTCGTTGATATCAACCATCATGGCAATTAGATGCCCTCATTAAGAAAAAAGGCCCTATTTTTGTGATATTAATTAGATATGAGCAACAATCAAATTCTGAAATCTTCTATATAAAAATTTGTCCTGTTTTTTCATGTATTTGTGATTTCATGTGTTTCAATATCTATCTGATGAAGTCAAGCGACATATCTTTTCAACAATACTTGATTCTCAAGTTGACATTCAGGATAAAAATTGTTAACTAATGCAAACGTCAAAAAATGATTTCTCAATCCATAACAGAACCTAAAGATGCCAATATTGATCAAGTTTTGTTGTGTAAAAATTTTTTTATCGTTTGAATTATTATACGTTGATTAAATCTTTTGATTTCCAGTTGTGCCAAAAAAAACGTGGCTATTCAATTAACTCATTTTCGTGTCTGAGACACATTACGAACTGAGACATATTACAGAAAAGACATTTGTTTTCACTTAGGTTGGAGTGATCAATATTTTTTATTACAATAAACTGAAAAAAAACATATATATGAAAATCATTTTCAATGTTTTTCAGTTTTTCTTGAACCAGACTATTCAACCTCAGATTATTAATTGGCTCAACAAAAACAAAAAAAAGTAGTTACTGGCTAGAGACACCAATTACAGTTTTAGCCAAAAAGTTGCTCAGAATGGAAAAAGCGATCGAAGTGTCAAAAAAATTTACCATCGTGCTAAAAATTGCAAACTTTGATAAAATTCAAACTTAGTATGAGATTACTTATTTTTCTGTTTCTAAGTTGTGAAAATTGAAAAGCTAAGTATCCGACCCATTTTTTCGAGCTATTTAACTAATGTCAAGCAACAATTTCGAAACTAAAACTTTCCACTAAGTCTTTCTGAAACTAAAACTAAACAATTATATTGTTTACAATTTGCTTTTACAAGGAATTACACTCAAAAGATAATACCAAGGCTTTTCATTTATCAAATAAAAAACAAAAATTTTATTAAGAAAACATACATCAATCAAATTATAGGCTTTCTCAATTATTATAACAAAATCTTATCAATTTTTTTCTTCCATCTTTTGTTTTTTTAAGGTTTATTAACATGCGATGGAAAGCCAAAAGATATGTCCAAAATGATAAACAGCCGATTTATTCAAGCCAAAAAAGCAGTCAATTGTTGTAAGCACTTAAACGTTGGGTTTTAACTGCAGCGAGCAGACGAATTGATGCTGCAAGCTTACCTGGAATGCAAAAAAAAAACAAATTCCCAATTTCAGTTTCCAATATGGCTCGCAAAACGATTTGTAAATATTATTGTATATAGCAAAAAGCTTGTTTCAGTCCATTTTGGATTAAATTTTAAGACGGAATAAATCTCTGCTAACTGTTAATAGCACGAATATGCCGTGCTTTAATTATCCCAAGTTGGCCAAATTGCCTTACTCATACCCCAATAACTAAAAATGATCAGAGGTGAAAATTTTTTCTTTTAATCTGAGCTCAAGACAACAATACTTTTTGAACGGAAAAAGAAATTCTGTCTGGAGAAAAATAACCACCCCAAGCACAAACGGTCCGTAATTATCTTCAATTATAGTCGGAACAAAAACTTCGTAATGCCATTTGACAAGTTGGCGCAAACTAAAAAACAGATTAATTCAGATGTAAGCGTGATGTTTTTCTTTCAAAAACTTGACTAGTTTTGTTCCGAATTTCGAAGAAAATGCGGAATATTCATGCTAGGGGTAGTTTTTTCTTTCAATCAAAATTCGACGTCTTAATTGAGCATCATTGGCCAATACTTCTTTATTCGGTGACAAATTTTAGAGTTTTTGAGCTTGAATGCAAAAAAATCACCTGTAATCATTTTCAATAAAGTTATGGGGGTTTAAAACCAATTCGACTAATTGGGACAGTTAACGCTCGATATATTGCGTTCTTATTACAACGCTTTTCACTTTAAACAACTGAAGGGTTTAACGCTTTTCAAATTGAATTGAGGCAAGTCATTTGTCATTTCAATAGAATAACCGACGATAAATGCATCCCATTGAAGTTTACAGTAGCGTGTGACAAGATAAACAGAAGAAAAAAATGAAAATGAAATAAAAAAATGAATAAAAGGCCGGCAATTTAGTTCTTTTATAAAAAAAGAGATGCTAAACACAGCCTTTGTATAATAAATAGTATGCGGGGAGGGGTAAAAAAGAAAAACAAAATTCGTCAATAATTCAATCAAAATTTTTTAAAGTGGAGTAAAGAGCATTGCTATGCAACCAGTCTTGTCTATTTTTTCTCCCCTTCAGTATGATTGCATCCAATGATCAATTCAAAAGTTTTCGAAACTTCATCAGCTTTAAAATTAGTTTCCCCAAAATTTCTCTCGAATTACTTGTACATTAAACTTAAATATGTTTCTTTTTGACATTTGTGTTAAAACTCGAAAGTAAGATAATGATCCCCGTCCCTTTGAGTTCAACGAAATTTTTCAAACTGTCTCATTGGCTATGTTTTCTAGACAATGGAGTGAAGATTATGATCAAAGAAGACAACGAAAATGTCATAACCAACAAATCCACTGAATGCAGAACCGCAAATTGTGCATCTAAAACAGAAGAGGATGAAATCCAGTTTGAATCACAGGTGCTTTCGGCTGATCATCGCGAGCCAGGGCTGAAATGTCAAGTTGTGATTTTTACCCGGACTGGACCCTCAGAATCGGACCATACCATCGTAACTCATTTTGAGGGTCAGGTGTTTGCTTGATATGCGATAAAAGATTGTGCTAATTCCCTTTGCAGGGGCCGATCTAGGATTTCTCGACAGGAGGGGGGGGGCGGGTTTTCAAAAAAAAGTTCGAACATTTTATCTTTTTTTGGGTCGACCAAATTGATTTCTCGATTTCCGCCAAAACACTAAAAAATCCCAATTTTGGCACTATTTTCTGTGCCGCAGGCAAAATTTTGGCAAAAACAGGCCAAAAAAGGCGTTTTTAGGCACTTTTTGGAAAATGTTGACCAAAAAATTGCGTTTTTTTTCACGCGCGCACCCTCTTCAAATTTAGTTATACTGGCGCCAACTGAGCCTTGAGGTTGTGAAAATCAGGCTGTGAAATCAGGTTGTGAAAATAAAAAATCATGGAAAACTTTTATTCAGTCGTGATTTGAGCTCCTTAAAGCTTTTCGAAATTTGTAAACTTGATTCTGCGAGAAAAAAAAACTGTTAAACAATAATCAAAGTCAGTTTCATTTTAAAAAAGCTTTTCGCTTTTAATTATAACTTTTTAGACGTTAATTAAGTAGATTCTGACCTACTTTTAGAATTACCGTTATTAAGGTATAAATTACTGTTACTCCTTTACCGACAAACTTCGAGTTTTTCTGTTTTTGCAAAAAATTTTGTAGAACAATGCAATTAATTCAAATTCACTCGAATTTCTATTTGATTAAATGTGAAGAACCCAATGCAGTGGAGAGTTTGATCATTTACTCTGTGGACGAGACATCACTTGGAGTTTCCTGGCTTCCTCCGAAGGTTGGACACTTCCTTCATTTCGTGGTCGAAGTCAAAGCACTAGATGGAAACTTGGTCGAGTCTCAAAAAGTGTCAGTAAATTTAAGCAATGTTTTACTCTCTAAAATGCAGGGCAACTCATTAGGAAAAATTGGTTGCTGTGCCATGATGAATTAATTTATTTAGAATTACTCTAAGTTCGAATGGCTTAAGTTTATGACAAATTGCTTTGCGACAAATTGTCAAATTGTAGTCTCATGCAGTTTGAAGATTCAAATTGTAACCAAAGTCTTCCAGACGAACCCAGCGCTCAAAAGCTATCAACAATGATTTATGCAAGCGAGATGATTCTCTCTGATTGTAGTTTTTCATTCTACTACCGGCGGAACAACAAACTTTTCTTTCTGGCTGTCTATCCATAGCAACAGGGGAGAGTCGAACAATTGAAAAAAGTGGAAAAGTAAAAAAAAAAATTATCGAAACATTTCAAACAAAAAAGTTTAGTAGAAAAAATTTCGGATCTAAAAAAAATTACCGTCTCTTTTTTTCGTGTCTGTACTATTTTTAGAGCAGATTAGGAAGAATTCTCTTTTGAGGATGATTTCCATCAAATCAAATTGTCTACAACGAAATATTCTTGTACCTCAATTGTTTTCTCGCGCAAACATGCAGTTAGATAATATATTTTTTAAATAGTTGTAGCGAAAGTAAAGTAATTTTGATACTTCTAAACTTTGAATGTAGAGATAGCTATCTGCAGTACAAAGTGTCAAACCTGGTGCCTGGATCGACCCATGTTGTCTCTGTCTTCACAGTGAGTGACCCTGATGGCCAAGTTAGATCTGAAGCAGTCACAAGAGTGCAAGATGCAGGTATCAGTAGAGGCTCAGCAACAGAAATTTTGTCCTTTTTGGGGGAGAGGAGGTTTTGATTAACCTTTTGAGGAAAGTGAGGAATATATATGCTTAGGGTGGTTTTTTCATTCAGACCGATTTTACAAAAACTGACAGCGAATGGTTTTCGATCCGGAAATCTTTGGATTGCCAAGCAAGGCTTAAATGCGAATAGCGTCGCTGCTCGAAAACAAGTTTGATAGTTTCAATTTGGGACTTGTTTATGCGTGGCAAAATATCCGCACTCATAATCGTTCCAAATTGAATTAAGCCAACTCTCATTCAGTTTCAAGCGTTAATAATCGATTAAATTATGATTATAGTACCAGTCTTACTAAAATTGAGAAACAATCAATTTTAACCAATTAATAATCGATTATAATCCCTCTTTTTAAAATCAAACTATACTTAATTATCATCCATTACAATCAATTGTCATCAATTATTTATTCGTCTATTTTTCGATACAATTAAAATCAATTATATTTCGCGCTATTAACGCGTAAGCGGAGACTTAATTCGTCGTTGAAATCGTACCAAATTGGTTGAAAAAAGCTTATTTGCCATAATTGTTTTGTTACAAATCTATTGCGAAATCTATTCTTTTAAACTTTATATGGCGTGTGGCGGGATGATTTCATAAAATTTCAAATTTTAGAAAAAAAAAATTCTTTTTTTTATTACATTTAGTTTTTTTATGTTACTGCTGCTCGATAAACCTGAAAAGGCAGTCGGAACATTCAAGGCTTGCCCTGATTCGAGCAGTCTTGTTTTTATTCAAATTTCTAATTCATTAGTTTTGCACAAATATTCATTATAGTCGATTCTAATTGATTATAATCCCTTTTGTTTGTCCATTTTGTGTTCGCAGTTGCATCTAAATTGCTTAAAATTTTTGTTTTTTGTAGACGTTGGCTACTATGAAAAATGAAAAAAAGTGTTTGTAAAGTTTTCCAATCAATTCAAATTTATGATTTTTTTCTTCATTTCTTCCCCATAAGAGTTGTTTTGTGATGCATATTTTATGCTTTTTAAGCAGCAAAACATCAGCAAATTCATTTAGATTCATGATTGATTCAGAAGATTTATTAATCGTCTACCGCGGAAACTTTTCCACAAATATGAAAGGATTTCTATGAGACTTTTGTTTCGTGGTAAAACTTTGTGTGCAGATGAACCAAAGTGTTCAAGAGATCTCTCGTTTAGAGATTTTCTTATTGACACAAAAATAATAACTCATAAGATATAATTCAAATATAGTTTTGAATTGACAAAACTTTGGCAAAATAAGAGATTATAATCGTTATAATCGATTATAAATGACTTTAAGAATTTTTTGTAAGAACTATAATCAATTATAATCGATTATAAGAGAATATAAACTCTTGGAAAACATCACGAGTATAATCAATTATGAATCCTTTAAACACCTTATTTTGGTAACTATAATCAGTTATAATTGTCAAAAAATCATCACAATAATCCGTTATAATTGACTAATTACGCTTAAACTTGGATGCAGGAAGCTAATTGGCTTTATTTATTCCGTACAAGATTCAAATTTTTACCTTTAATTCGAAGTTTTTCAGTATATCATATACTATCCGAGACCAATTATTTGGCTGTCGGATCAAACAGGGCTTCGCCTTGATACTTCTTGTTTTAATTGTACAGCTGTAATCTTCATATATTTTTTTAAACACTGAAAACTGTAACTCTTACAGCAATATCTAAAAACAAACTCTTGATAACTCATTTTAATATGATTTTAGTACCAGTTTTACAAAAATTGTGAAAAAAGGGAATTTAATCAATTAATAATTGATTATAATCTCTCGTTTTGAAATCAAATATAATCAGTTATAATACATTTCAATCGATTATGCTCGATTACTTATATCCGAATTTCTAATTCGTGTGTTTTGCAGAAAAATATCGTTTTATTCGATTACAATTGTTTATAATCCATTTTGTTTGCACATTTTGTATTCGACTTTTCACCTGAATTGTTTATATTTTATGCTTTTCGGAGACGTTGGTTTATGTGAAAAACGCCAAAATCGTTTTAAATTTTTTCATATCAAATAAATTTATAACATTTTTATTATTTCTTCTTGATTCACCATTTTTTCACCACCAAAATATCAGCACACAGCTTTAGTTTCATGAACTATATAGAAAAAGTATATTTCACCTACCGCGGGATTTTTTCAACTAATATGAAGGGATCTCTATGAAAGTTTTGCTTCGTGGTAAAACTTTGTGTTCAGATGAACCAAAGAAAGGCAAGACATCTCACTTTTAGAAATTTTTGACAGAAAAAATGATTAAAATTTTTTTATAATAGATTATGATAGATTATATTGATTATTTTGGAAAAACTAAGAGAGTTTTTCGGAAAAATTATAATTAATTATAATTGATTTAATTCTTTATAATGTCACGAAAAATGTTATCATTATAATGGATTCTAAATTGTTCAAATATCTAAACTTGGCGCTTATAAATAATTATAATTTTGATTAAAATACAATTATATAAATTTGTCCAAAAAATTGCGTTTTTTTGGCGAGCACTCCCTTACAAACTAGTATATATTGGCACCAAAAGCGCCTCTAAAAAATTTTTAGGATTTGGCCGAAAATGGATGTCATAAAATAATACCAAAGTTGGGAACCATTGGTTGGCGAGGGGTCGAATCTCTGAGGGGGGAAGGAAGTCCGCCCTTCCCCTCTCGGCCCCCTCTCCCTAAATCCGCCCCTGCTTCGTGCACTAAATGATGTTTCTCAGTAATTAGAAAAAACTTATTATCCCAGTTTTTCATAATAAAAGTTTTCATAATAAAAATTTAAGTTAATGACAATCATCGGAGCACTTATTGTTTTATGACATAGTTCAACTTATCAAAAAAAAAATATGGGACAATAAAAAAATCCAGAAGAAATGTTTTGCTTCATACCCTAGTCGAGGTTGTGGTTTTATGATCAGTCGGTCGCGACCAGTTTTTGGTATTTCCAGACTGCCGCGACCAAAACTTGGTATTTGTAGACTTTGCAGACCGAGGCAATGTGTCCACGACCGGGGCGACCGAAGGAAAGTTAACCGCAACTGGCGCGATTGAAGGAAAGTTAGTCGCGGCAGTCAAAAAATTAGCCGCGGAGGTCCAAAAATTAGTTGCGGCATGGTCGACAAATGTTCCCACAAACAATCTGCAGATGCTCTTGCAGCAGAAATTTGCCTTCAGAAAAAAAAGTTTTTTTTAAATTTTTTTTTCAGCACCAATGCCTCCAAAAGCATTATCCGTGATGCCATCAATTGATCACCGCACTTTCATTGTCAACCTTGAACCGCCCCAAAGAGGATATTTCAAGTGGTTCGAAATCGAAATCAACGAACAAAATGAGCAGGGCAATGACATCATTTCAACTCAGAACATTCTAGAAAATAGTTCACTCGTGCTGCCTCTAATGTTGAAAAATGACGAGCAAAATACTGAGATTAAATTGGCTAAGTTTGCTGCTGTTTATTTGCTGAAGGTTAGATGCGTGAGCAAAAATGGACAGCGCAGTATTCGCTATGGAAGCCAAGATGTCATTACAGGTTAGCTACAAGTTGGTATTAATTGGTAAAATTGGTACTAATAATGGAAATTGTCAAATCAAAAATATCTTTTTCATAGACAGCGAAAAATCTTGCGAGGTCCATAATTTAAAACAAAATTTAAAAAACGTTTTACTAACGACTTAAAAAACGTTTTTGATTTGTGAGTGGCGTTTACAAAACGATTCAAAAAGGTGTTTGATTTGTGATTGGAGTTTACAAAACAATTTTAAAAACGTTTTTGGTTGGTCAGTAGAGTTTACAAAAAGATTTATAAAAAACGTTTTTGATTTGTGAGTGGAGTTTACAAAACGATTTAAAAAACGTTTTTGATTTGTGAGAGTGAAGTTCAGCGGGTAATAAAATGCAATGAAGTTAAAGGTTGCTATTTGGCGTACAGACTACGATAATTGTTTTCAACGATCATCGATTCTGGAGAAACATTCAACTTTAAATGCTTTTATTTTCGGCTCTTTTTCCTTTCCCCCCACCTGCAATTTTTTACAAGTAAAACTATTGTTCAAGAAAGTTGGCATGCGGACTAATCGGGCCATGGCAAACATATTTGGCCTTCATAATTAACCTTGTAAAACCACTCATTACATCATAAAATTGATGGTCATACGAGATGAGGCGGGGGGGGGGGGGGTGTATGGGGAGGAAAAAGAGCCTTATTTTCTACTCAATCTTTTTAGTTTTTCTTCATTTTTTGTAAGTTTGTATTCATTTGTGAAGGCTTGGTTAAAATAACATTGATCAAAACTTAGATCAGATTATCTTAAAATGCTTTTTTATATGAAAAAGACATTTCGAAGAATATGCTTAATTTGATAAAAATCACTTCTACGTTAAAAAAATCTTAAAATAGCCCTGCAGTTTCAATTGACACCCTAAGAGTTTTAAAGAAAAAAATTGAACCAATAGGCATTTATCTTATATCTGACGTTAGGTGCACCAATTAACTTGTCTTTAGATCACTCTTGGGTGAATTCTGATTCGAATGATTCGCCACCTGAGCAAATGTTAGTCATCTAAAGATGCCCAAAATGACCATTTTCAAAGAACCCCCTTCGACCCAAAATGTCTATGAACTAATTTAATTCAAAACCTTCAGATAGTACAAAACATTTCGTCGAAAACACTAGGTGAAAAATGTAAAATCGATTGTCTGGAGAAAAAATCAATCTAGCTCAATTTTTTTTTATCAGCTTCCCCGAAAGTCTGAAAAATGATGGCTTAGAACGGAACTTATCTTCACTAGTTCAAGTTTAAGTACCTGATAATTTGATAAGTGATAACACTTATTCAATTGCAGCATGCTTTTGTCATTCAATTGATGATTCTACTCGAAGGTTCATTCATAAATGGTGAAAATTTCAGGCAGTTTTTTTATTGAATATAAGTATATAATAACTAATATTCAATAATATATCTATTGAATATTAGTTATTTATAGAAAAACTTTGTCTCCGTATGTCTTTTTAAATTCTAATTTACTTTTTTTTCCTCGCAAAAGCCGGTACCCTATACAATTATCATAATTACGTCGGGCAAATTTCGAAATTCAAGCTTTTTTGGTCATGAATCGATCGAAATTTGATAACTCTAAAAAATTTCTCAGTGCCGAGGAAAACTGTTTTGAAACTATCACTTTTTTTTTATTTTCGAGCAAATAAAGCGAGCAAGCTGGTTTGTTTTAGTGCAATAAGCTGCGATTTTAAGCCTTGAAAACTTACATACTTCAGAAAAAAAATAGTTTAAGAAGTAAAGTTTTTGACAAAAACGCGGAAAAAGAACTTCAGCCTGGTGCAATTTTTTTTTCTTGCTTAAAACTAGTCCTCTTGAAAATAGTTCCCTTGATGAACAACAACGTCGCGTCATCAAGTGTAATATCATATCAAAAACTTTTCAATTATGTTTCCAAAACCAAAAAAGATCTTTCGGCGCCGAAAAAAAATTATTTTGGAACTATTCTCTTGAATGAAGAAAAGATTGGATGAAATTGAGTCTTCACTTTATAAGTCTTCACTGACAGTTTTGAAGCAATTTTTTTGCTTAATTTTAGCCACACTTTGAACAGTCCGGATTGAACAAGATGTGGAATTTTCCATTTTTTTCAGGACTGCCACCAACTGAAGTTTCAATCCAGGAGGTGTCCAAGAATTCTGATCACTTTTGTTTCCTGTGGAAGACAATTGGTTCATTTGCGGGTATCGTGAACAAACTTCAAGTTGTTGTGATTCAGGACAATACTTTTTTGAGGGAAAGCAAGTCATCCGATGTATCTCTTGGCTCTTCGCAGGTAATTTTTTTTTTAAATATCAAATTTTGAGACATTATTTGTACTTATTTGGGCAATATTTAATCTTTTACGCAACCAATGAACGCAATGCGAGCTCAATCGAACGTGAAAGAAAGTTTTGCTCAAAAAAGATCAAATTGAAAACTAATTTGTAACAGTTATGATCTATTCAAAAATCCATCCAGAAAATATAATGTAAGAAATATCAAAGGTGATAAGTTTTTTTCCAATTTTCGAAGAAAATGACCGATTATATATGATTGGAGTGTTCGTCTAATCAGTCAAACTTCGACTTCTTTACTCATCATTGTGACAAAAGTTATTATACCAAATGAAAGATATCTTTGTAATGAACTTTAATTTTTTTTGGCCTTTTATGAAGTAAAGTTTTTTTGTGATCTGCTTTCTAAAATAACGTGGGTTTTGGTAAAGCTATCTTGGCCAATTTAGAAAAAAAAATGAAGCAAGATATGCAGATCTATTATTGCAACGCAACGTCATATGCTCTTTTAGACGCAATAATTAAGCTTTTCTTACTGGGGACAATGGTTAATGAAATCGTTAGGGGCCTTGCTTAAGCGAAAACTAAAAATGTTGTAGAGGATCCTTCTACTGCAAAGTCTGCATTATTTGAGTCATCATAAAATCTTGACTTAGGTCATAGTCATTGTCTTGAAGTTTCGAGAAGCTTTTTCATTTTCTACATTTCACTAAAGTTGAATACACTTATATCAGCGTGCGTAATAAGGTGTATAGCTTTTTTGTACTAGGAAGGTGCTATATTGATATACAGCGCAACTAGAGATATGAAAACCAACTATAGTAATTACAAGGCTAGCCCATTGGTGTGTAGCTGGCAGAGAAAGTTCCGACCACAATAAAAACTGTACCTTTTGTGTGAAAAAAAATACCAAACGACAAAATTTTCCTCACTTTCAGTGGTCGAACAAAAATTTTCATCTGTTAATAGCTTGCTTGAAAAAACTCAAAACATTTTGCGAACCTCTTCAGGACTTCAAAACAGTTTAAATATTTAAACTCAAGGTATCAAAACTTTGCTTCAGAAACAAAATTTTTTTATGAATCATAAATTTCATCAAACCAGATTTGAATTAATCCATTGTTTCATTGCTTGAATAGCTTACTGCAAAGGTTGTTTTTTTTCGAGTCACTTCGAATCAATTCAAGCTTACTTCGAACCAATTCAAGTTACTGAAAGAACTTTTTTGGCTTCAAAGTTTGATGATTTGATAGTTTGCTTCAAACAATATAATTGCTTGAAAAAGCTCGTTTGAAGCAGAATATATTTGCAAAGCAATCCAAGGCATTGAAACAGTTTGCAGATTTTCATAAACTGATAAAACTTCTAGAACTGTTTACTTTTTGGGAATCCACTCAAATTAATAAAAACTACTTGAAATGCGTCAACGATTGATCAAATGAAAAAATTTGTTCAATCAAATTAAAAGTATTGCAAATCAATTCAAGCTTTCAAAACAATTTGAAATTTTTAAATGTTTAATCGCTCATGTACTTCATTTAAAAACATTATAATTGCGCATCATTTTCCTTGATTTAGAAAAATTTCTCTATTTCATTTCTTTATAGCTGGCCTTAGAAACCTTGAAGTTTTGCAAACTAATAGGGGCTTCCAAACAACTTGAAATATTTTGACTTTTTTTCTCTTGAATAGTTTGCTTTGAAGAAATTTAGTTTTTTCTAAGAAAACAGGCCACAGAAACGACTTGAAGTGTTTTTTAAAGTGTCATCGCTCAAAAAATTCTCTTGTACAATTTTAAAATTCTTGCGAACCAATGCATAACCTCAAAACAACTTCTTTGGCACTGATATTGCTTTCCTTGGAAATAATTTGCCAATGATGACATTGACCGCACTTATACCGTGACCATCCTGTCACTTGCAAGAAATTATACCCTTTAATTGGTCTCAAATAGTTCTTGGCTGATTAAATATTGGCAATATATTGAATTTTAGGCTTATAATGTCAACATTTAAGTGTAAAAAATTTGAGTCGTGCGCAGAATTAATAAAACTAATTAGCTGCATCAATTCAATTCGGAACAGTTTTGTAGTGCGGGATAATTCGCCACGTGTAAACTATAAAACGAGCCGTTTCGGCATAATCGTGGTAGGTTACTATAGTGGTGTGCACACACGGTCAAGATCATGAGATCGATCCCCCGGTTGGCCCAAGCTTTGTAAAATTGGTCTGATTAAAAAAACCACCACGAGCATATATATTCCTCAATTTCGTTGAAAATCGGAACAAAAAGTTTGAATTTGGGGTTTATTCGACGACTACAATTCAAACTGGGATAAATAACGCGCAAAAAGATGCAAGAAGTTTGCTCTTATTAACACGATATGACACTCAAAGTATCTCATTTTTTACTTAATATAGCGTGTTTCAAAAAAATTAATAAATAAAGTGTTCAAATATTTTTTTTTCTGTTTTATTTGCAAACAAGCAAAAAAAATTTTAACCAAAAAGATTGTGATCGGCAATAGAGGGCATTCAGAGCTCAGTCGATGTCTTGATAAACTAGCTGTCTTGTTTGATCCTAGATTTGCGTTCCCTTCGCAAGAAATAATCAAAACTTTGAACTCCAAAGCCTCGGCAGAAGAATGAAAAAATTGCAACAATCTTGCAACATTACCGTTCGTTCGCAATATTGCAAATTTTGAATACCAAAAACATGAGGAATGGTAAGAATCGTAGGAGGGGATGGCAAATGGTACAATAGCCGAAGTTTCTCTTGTTTTAGAAAGGTGTGGGGTTGATTTGTTTCGAGTACATCTACAACTACACATCGGGTGATGAGATAAACCTCAATTTGATCTTTTCAAGAGAGTTTGGACCAAGTGGTCTGAAGACGTCAGCCCCCTCCATCAACAAGAAAATAAATCTTTTCCCACGTCAGTACAAACTTTTTTTATAATAGGAAAAAAAACCAATGCACAAGCTGATGAAAAATTTGTTTTAGTTCACTTTATCCGGATAATTTAAATCAGTACAGAAGACACCTTTTCAGCAACAAATGCAGAGAAAAACTTTTAAATTGCGAAAACGTGCGTGACCAAAAGCAGTTAATTTCAATGAAATCTATCATCAAAATTTGGAGAATTACCGCTGCCCAGCGCAAAATTATTAGCTTCAATAACCTATTAGCGAAATGAAAGACCTTTTTTCAGATAATTGAAACGACTTAATATAAATTTATTTTGTTGTCATGCTCAACAAAAACAAAAACAGATGTCCTTTTTAGCATGAAAATTAGATGAAAAACTATTGACTCTTGCAAAAAAGTTTGAGTCTTAAATACTTTTAATTCGAATCCACTAATGCTTGGGTTACAGCTCAGCTTAGTTGGAAACAAATTACGTTGTGTTTACTTGTTTGTATATTTTTCTTCGATTATTCAATCGAAAAATTATTTCAATTCAGTACTGTTCTTAATAGGAAAACTAAGTTTACATAAAAACCAAATTTCAATATATTTTAAGCATTTAAAAAAAACTACGGAAACTTGGATCAACATGCTCCATAGTGATTGGTTGGCATTAATTTTAGAGAAAAAAATCTCGATTTTCATTTGAAATACTAAATTCAATCAACAATATGGGCTGATTGACAGACAACATCCCTCGCTAATTTGGTTGAGAAATATTGTGGAATTCTTGTTTCTTACCAGCTTCAACATATATATTTTTTTACAGGTATCGATTTCAATTTGGACATCAGTTTCAATTGCACTTCTGATGACTGCGTTCTCTGTGTCACTGACAACGAACTCATTGTTCAAAACTATCTCGACTTCGAAGCGAAGGTGAGTTTCTGTTATATATTGATTTGAAATAGTGTAAAAGATAAGCATGCGTGCCAATTAGCATGCCAAGCGCAATTCAAGCATCTTATTTTTGATTTATTGGTCCGACTTGCGAAGAAAGAATGGTATATTGATGCTAGGTGCAGTTTTTTCTTCAAAAGTTGATTCTTATATCATCTGGAAGGTAATGACACATTGAAACTCAATTTACAAGAATAGTTTACCTGTGACCAAAAAATGGCGATTTGAAAAACAACAATTTGGCTAGTTTGGGACAAATAACGCGAGATTTGTTTCGTTTTTATTAACAAAAAAAAATTAATTGAGGAAAACCAGAAGGAATTTTTATTTAATTGCTATACAAAAATAAAAACAATGCGTGTCGGGTTTGTACTTTAATTTGCGTGTCTTAAGAAGATTTTTACCAACAAAAAGTCTGGAATTGTCGGGGGATTTTTACCAACAAAAGTCTGGAAACTCATTACATAACTATTTGCTGATATCTAGAAAAATTTTAGGATTCGTCAACCAAAAATGGATATCTCAAATTAGTACAAAGGGGGAACCCTTTGGGTCGTCAGGAGACGAATCCCTCGGGGGGCGGGCGTCCGTCCCTCCCCCAAATCTGCTGGTTATGGCACACAAAACTTGAATTCAAAATATTCTATGGTGGAACATTAACCGTATATTAAAGGGGCTACCAATTTGCAGGTGAGCCAATTAGCAAGCGAAGTTAGAACACTTCCTCTTTTGGTTTCTTAAAATCCGCTTTTGAGTCCAAACAAGGCATTAGCAAGTGCGACTGATCCTAGAGCAACACTACGAAACTTGATTTTCTATTTACAACTTCTTTGCTCTGTCCGAGCCCATACATGTCGATGTGGAACTTGTCACTATTTACGCCGCATTTACTGCAAGGATGAAGCCATTAGAGGGCGTGTTCGATAAACAAAATATTTTTTTTCTGTCAAATTTTGGAGTTGTTTGGCATCAAAAGCGGCATTTAAGTTACCAAAAGAGCTTGTGTTCTGTTTGTGCTTGCTAATTGGATCACATGCAAATTGCTATCCCCTTTAATATACGGTTAATGTTCTACCCTTAAAATCTTTTCTAATCAAATTTCGTATGCCGTAATTATAACTGCTCTTTGCTTGTTGTCACAGATTGGCTAATAAACCAGTCCCCCAAACAGGGGCGGATCCAGGATTTCCTCGAGGAAGGCGGGCTTTCAAAAAAATTTTGAACGTTTTGTTGACCATCAGTAGATTTAGGAGGGCCGACGCCTTCTCCACCCTTCAGGGATTCGACCCCCTGCCCACTCAAAGGGTCCCCATTAATACTAACTTGAGATATATATTTTTTTGGCTGACGGACTCTAAAACTTTTCTACTAAAATATTTACTAATTTTGGCAAGGAAGCGCTCGCCGAAAAAACGCAATTTTTCGGTTTAAATGTTACAAAAAGTGCCTAAAAATAATGTTTTTTTTTTATCTTTTTTCAAAATTCTGCTTGCGGCGCCCCTGCTGTCGATTTTTTTTAGCTCGACCAAATTGTTTTTCTGAGTTTTTCCAAATCATTATAAAAACTCTATTTTAGGCACTTTTTAGAAAATTTTGAAAAAAAAATGCGTTTTTTATTGGCGCACGCTCCCCACCCCATCAAAATTAGTAAATTTTGGCTCCGAAGGCGCCCTTAGAAAAATGTTAGGATCAGCCCCTAAATCCGCTGGTGATTAAATTATTGAAATGAAATCTGCAGTAAGACAGAATTTGGGCTAACATTTTTAATAATCCAGTCTCGAATAAAACCCCAGCGCACAATTTTGTGTCTGTATGTTTGGATTCCAGAGACCAATCTTGAAACATCTTGAAATTTTGTCGCAAAATTCAAACAAAAAGAAAGAACTAAAGAAGAACAAGACTGCTCGTATCAGGGCGAAGCCCTGAATGTTCCGACTGCTTTTTAAGGTCTATGAAGCAGTAATAACTTGAAAAATTTAAATGTGATAAAATAATATTTAAGTTTTTTTTTTAAATTTGTCTTTTTTTGTGAAAACATCTTCCCACACGTCATATTAAGTAGAAAGTGGTAGATTTTGCTCCTCTTAACAAATCTATTATAGCAAATAAGCTTCCTTCAATCAATTTGGATTTGGAACGATTTCTAAAACGGATTAAATTTCCGCTTACGCCTTACTAGCGCGAAGTATATCGCGCGTTAATTGTCCCAACTTGGCTAAAATGGCAATCTTCAAACCCCATAACTATACAAAAATTGATCACAGGTAAAAGATTTTTTCAAACTTAAGCCCAGGATAACAATATTTTTTGGATGATATTCAAAAAATCCCGTCAAAAATGGCTAGTTAAAAAGTTGAAATTTGTCTGAAGAAAAAAAAACCCACCCCGAGCATAAATATTCTGTTATTTTTGTTAAGATAGTCGGAATAATAAAGGAAGCTTACTTGTAGCGGAATCCGCTTACAATTTACAAAATGCACAATTTGGCCTCGTAATGGTATATATTTGCGCCTTTCGAAAAACTTTAGTGTAGGTCAGCCAAATTGGATGTTCTAAAATAGTAACAAAGGGGGGATCCTCTGAGTCTTCGGCTGTGGGTCGAATCCCTGAGGGAAGGCGTCCGCCCCCACCCCTTCCCCGAATCAGCCCCTGCTCCCAAATGGACACAAAAATTCTAACGCTGTTTTATGTTTCTGCAGTTATTTGTAAAGCATCACAATGGCTCAATGGAGAACGAACTGGCTCGAGAATTCAGGCTGGAAAACTCAGGCTGCGAAATAGATATGAGTTTTTGTAGCTTCCACCTTTCGGAGTTAACTTCAGCATCAAACTACTCAATTGATTTGCAGCCATCTGTTTTTGGTGTTACAATGCCTCAAGTTTTCAAAATGGATTTCTACACACTTAAAGGTACATTTATTTCAAATGGCACTTAGCGGTTATAAAAAATTTATATCCCAAATTAATAATGTTTACAGAGTTTTGTTTTCGAAAACATAAGAGAAAATGTGCTGTGATACTTTTGTGTTCAGCGAAGGAAAAAACAGAGGAAAGAACAGAGATGAAACTATATCTCATAATTACAATCAGTGCTTTTGGCACGGTTGTCGCCGCTTCAATTGTCTGTGCGATTCGTGCCTTCAAATGGTAATTGAATTCAGTTTGCTCTTACTCAAACTCAAACCCCATTCCCCATGAAACTGTTAAAATTGTTCTCTTTCTATGGATAAACTCGAGTCTTAAGTTTTTTTTTTGAAATTGGCCTTGAAAGATTATTAGAGACAGGTGAGGTCAAAATCATACAAACGTGGGTGTATACAGAATGTTTAAAACAAAGGTTCATTTTGAACGAAACGGTACAAAACGAGAATATTTGTTAAAAAGTAAAACCTGGCTAATATTTAGAGCAGCCAGGAATTCGTAGTAAAAAAGAAAAACTACACACTGATAAACCATATGCAAATTATAGTAACAAAATTAAAAATCACTGATTATCATTCAAAAAACTACGCACTCAAAAAGCGTTCTTAGACATTTTTTGGACAATTTGACCGAAAAATTGCGTTTTTTTGGCGCTCGCTCCCCACTCAAAATTAGAATAATTGGGCGCCAGAGGCGCTTGTAGAAATTTTTTTTAGGTCAGTCAGCCAAAAATGGATTTGTATAGTGCAAAGTGGGACCTTTTGGGTCGTCAGGGGGTCGAAACCCTGAAAGAGAGAACGTTCAACTTCATTTTTTTTTGGAAAACCCATCTGCAAAGGGTCGTTCATTGTAATTTTGCTTGTCGCTGAAAGTTTTGCAGGGCCCATACTGATATGGGTTGTCTAGTAGGCAAATGACGAAACCCCCGGAATGGAGTTTCATTAATAATCTTATTCGATTATACTGTCATGTTATAGTCATTATCCATCAAGTTACAAAAAAAATAGATTATAATCTATTAAAAAAGGATTATAATCCTAGATTTTTTATATCTATGTAATCCAATATAGAAACAAAAACGAATTTCATGGATTTTTGTGGCTCAAAAAAAGTCAATTTTATTTTCAAGAAATTGATTATAATTATAATGGATTTAAAAATATTGAAAATTATCGATTGTAATCTCCCTGGATGGGTAATGAAAGTCAATTATATGGATTAATTTTCTGCCGGTATAATAATTGATTATAATTGATTATTTCCCATGAAACTCCTGTGCGGGCCGGTGCATTGAGAAATTTTCAACTTGTTTTTGTTCAAATTATTTGTTATTTGGGCACTAATTTATATATCAATTACTTTTTTTTCACGGCTCTTAAGTCGCCAAAATGACAAACAATTTAGTTTGATCGATTTTAATTTAATATCAAAGGACAGGAAAATTGATCAAATTTTTGAACCGGTACAATATTATGTAACAAAATTATGTACTGCCACTATAATTGTTCTGACTTTCGAACAAAAAGCAGAATATTTTTTGCTTGGGGTGGTTTTTTTATTCAGTCAATTTTCGACATTTCAGTTATGCACTTTTGACAAAACAGTTTAAGGCATTCTAGATACATTGTTGTTTTAGCTTAATTGAAAATAGCTAATTTGGCTTTATTGCGGATAACTAACGCGCGACATATTGCGTTCTTATAACACGCCTAAACGGGGTTTAAAGCGTTCCAAATTCAATTGAGGCGAGAAATTTGGTAGTATCTTTAGAATGCGAGACTCGAATTGAAGTTTTGTTGTTTAAATTATCGTGTGGGGGAATCAGTTTTTCTTTTTTATCATTTCATCAATTATTCAACAGAAAATTTTTTAAATTGGCCTTCAAGTGCAATCGGAACATTCAAGGCTTTGCCCCGATATAGAAACGACTTTGTTTATTACTAACGCGCGGAACTTAAGTCAATTTTATACTCATTGTAAGACTTTAAAATGCTACCCAAAAATAATTTGAAGTTACCGCAATAAGTGAAATTCGGTAGAAAGAACAAATTTTTGAAGGATAAAAGGCCAACGAGAAATTTTCAAAAAATGTCTACCTTACTACTCTGATTTTTCAAAACCACCCGGGTTGACCTCCATACACCGAAAATGCTTATCATACAATTCCATACATCAATTGTGTGGGAAAATGCTTGTCATACAATTTTCATACAATTTCTAAAAATGGTTGAAAACTGGTATAAACTCTTTTCTGTGGCTGTTTGATTCTAATAAAACAATCTGGTGATAAAAAACTGAGGTTTTCTTTTTTTTGAAAAAAATGCTTATCATACAATTCCCATATATAGAAATTGTATGACTGGCATTTTTTTGATGGCGACACAAAAAATTTTTGAAACTATTTTGAAAATTTGGCCCAAAAATTTTTTTGGTTTTTTTTTCAACCGCGAATCGATTTTCGTACGCAAACAAACATTTTTCGAAAAAAAAACTTTGCATGCAAAATTTAATATTTTTTGTGCATAACGTAGTCTTGGATACGATAAATTTGGCTTTTACTTTCTTTTCACTTAATTTTTTTTTTCAAAAACGCTGAAAATTCCTTTTTCTTTTGTATGGGGTGTTAATGTACGCCTTGATCAATGTCTGATAATTTGAAAATTCAAAAATTTAATATAATCATCATTAATAAATTTTGCCAAAAAATAAAAGTTTGTTACTTTTGTTATATGAATTGTGAAAGACAGCCAGATTCAGGTCGTTTTCTATGCATTGTAAATGCAAGACCGTCCAACCTTTGGTGTTTTGAGTAACCAAGGTCTCTGTCACTTGTGTTCGGTTGCAACTACAACCGAAAATTTTTCAGAAACTAAATTTAGAAAGAAAAAATCAAAATTTTTGGTTTATGGGAAAACACCTATCATACAATTTTCATCTATGGAAAAATGCTTATCATAGACTTTTCATACAATTTTCTGTACGCATGGAATTGTATGAAATTGTATGACAAGAAGTTTCTCATATATGGAAATTGTATGATAAGAAGTTTTGGTCAACCCGGGCAAACAAAATTACATTTTAAAAACATATTTTGCACAAGAACTTCATTTGTATAAAATGTTCATATCTTTTTTAAAATATAAGTGGCTTCTCTAAACAAAACTGTTAAGTATATTTCTTACAATTTATTTCTCCCTATATGGACTCTTAACACACTCATCAATTTCATATAAGAGGCTTCTCTAAACAAAACTTTTAGTATATATACTATAATTTATTTCTCGCTACATGGACTGTTAACACATTCATCGAACTTTATACTCAGCAAACTCATCAAAATCTCAACTCCATTCTCTTGAAAAGGGGCTTGATTTCCATTTTAACAGACATCAGGCCTTCGAGGAAGTCCTCAATCCAACCCCGTATCAAACTGAATCCTTGCAAACTCAATCCTCTACCATATGGTGAGTTTGCAAAAATTTCCTTTTCAATTTTTGTCGTTTTTGTGTATAAACGCTTTTTCCGCCCTAAATTGTTTTGGTTTATTTTATATTAGTTTATACTGAACTTATTTTGAATTGTTTCAAGGAAAAAAGAATTTCAAGTTTTTGTTCAGACCTTACCTAGCCAGTTTTGACATCAATCTTATATCAGCTAAAAAGTTTTGTTTTCTTGAGCTCATTTTTACAAAAGGTTAATTTACCTGTGAACAATTTTGGTTGGGTTATGGAGTTTTAGAGGTTGCCAGTTTGGGAGTGTCAAATAACAAGCCATAAATTATGTCCATTTACCGCGTAAGCGGAGATTTAATCCATCTTAAAAATCGTTTTAAATTGAATTGAGGCATCCAATTGTTTGATTTGAAACTTTGATATATTCAAAAAATATCACTCTATACTCAACATAGTGTGTGGGGTGATGATTTTCAAAAAAAATGAAAAACTTTCGTCAAAATTGAAAGCAAACTAAAAGGCAGTCAGAACATTCAGGGCTTCGTCCTGATACGAGTATTCCTAATTGTTCCGACTTTCGATACGAAAGTAACGGAATATTTGTGCTCGGGGTGGGTTTTTTTTCTTCAGACAATTTTCGACTTTTTAACTAGCCATTTTTGACGGAATTTTTTTATATCATTCAAAAAGTATTGTTGTCTTGAGCTTAAATTTGAAAAGATATTTCACCTGTGATCATTTTTGGTAAAGTTATGAGGGTTTAAAGATTGCCAATTTGGCCAATTTGGGACAATTAACGCGCGATATAACTCGCGCTATTAACGCGTAGGCGGAGAGTTAATCCGTCTTAGAAATCGTTCCAAATTGGTTGGAAGAAGCTTATTTGCCAAAATAAATTCAAATTTTAGAAAAAAAAGTTATCATTTTATTTTATTACATTTTATTTTTACTAGGTTTTTACTAGGTTATTACTGCTCCTTAAACATTAAAAGGCAGTCGGAACATTCAGGGCTTCGCCCTGATACGAGCAGTCTTGTTTTTTTTCGAATAGGAGCATCAAAAAATGTCAGATCTTTGAAGCTCGAATTTTGTATGACAGCTGTTATTTTGTGCGCAACGAGCGTTTAATCAGTTTTTGTCGTTCTACTTGATGCACGATGAATGTCTGTGAAAACTCATTTAATGCCAGCAATTGCGCTGCTGAAAGTGTTTTCTTCAAACTCAGCATCATTTGATCTGAGCCAAATAGTTGAATTTTTTTAGGTTTTTAACTTTTTTGAACACTTTTTTGTTTTTCTGTGCCGTTTTTGTTTAGCTTCTTGTCTGCTAGCTTGCAACGTTGGTTGTAGATAATAACAGAGTTCACTGTGATCTCTTTTGCTTCACGTAATTTGCTTAACCACTTGACTGAAACCAATTCTTTTAACCGCCTTTTCAATAGAACCTGAAGAAGAAAAGGTTGTTGATTTTCGAAGTGCTCTATCGCATTGTAAATGAAATTTATTAGGAAGTCATATTTTTCAGATTGTTACAGAGTTATTGATGTTACAAACAAATTTTTTGAGATTCAAAACTGTAAAAAAACGTAATTTTTTGGCAAGTCTTTTTTCGAATGTATTTTACACCTATAACTTTTTGAACTCAAAGTGTACAAATTTAATATTTTGTTGCGGCGAGTATTTTTTTGAATATAATTTACAAATACGATTTTTGAGACTCAAAACTTTAAACATATTTACTTTTTCAGCAAATTTCATTGAGAAGAAAAATTTTATACTAACTATTTAACTTTTAGTGGAAGCCACAAGGTCGGGCCACACTCAACAACAGCTGATGACAATGAAGTCTACAACGACCCCAGCGAATTCTATGAGTAAGTTGTTCTCGCAATTTGGTTTCTAACTAAATAGAGACGCAATCTATATACTCAGAGTATTAAGTATTCATTTAAATTGTAGTATAAACACCTAATTCAGCTGTAGAAAGTCACAGACCATGATTTTCAAATATCGCTGAAACTTTTGAGAAAGGAAAGCGTTTTTGGCTTATAAAGCCATATGTGAAAGCTTTTTGTCTTTTTAATGTACATTAAAAGAAAAATTTTACAATATTCCAAAGAAATAGCATGTAATTCTGACGAGGTCACAAAATGAAAAGTCTGAACAACCTAAATATCAATCGTTTTACAAATAGGCTCTTTGAAGTTCAGAAATGTAAAAATTTTAAGTTTTTCGGCAAATCTCATTGAAAAGAAAAAAATACAAAATCCATTTATTTTTTTTTGTGGGAGCCACCAAGCCGACACGAGATCAAATTTTAGGCCAGGCTCGACAACAGATGAAGGAAATGAATTCTACCAAAATCCCAGCGAATTAGAAGGAAATGAATTCTACCAAAATCCCAGGGAATTATATGAGTAAGTTTATATCTTCAGAAAATTTAAGTGTTCGTGTAAGTTTTAGTATAAACGCTTAATTCAATCGTAAAAAGTCACAGACCTGGTTTCTAACTAAATAGAGACGCAATCTATATACTCAGAGTATTAAGCATCATTTAATTGTAGTATAAACACCTAATTCAGCTGTAGAACGTCACAGACCATTGTTTTCAAATATCGCTGAAACTTTTGAGAAAGGAAAGCTTTTTTGGCTTATGAAGCCATATGTGAAAGCTTTTTGTCTTTGTAATGTACATCAAAAGAAAAATTTTACAATATTCCAAAGAAATAGCATGTAATTCTGACGAGGTCACAAAATGAAAAGTCTGAACAACCTAAATATCAATCGTTTTACAAATAGGCTCTTTTAAGTTCAGAAATGTAAAAATTTTAAGTTTTTCGGCAAATCTCATTGAAAAGAAAAAAATACAAAATCCATTTATTTTTTTTGTGGGAGCCACCAAGCCGACACGAGATCAAATTTTAGGCCAGGCTCGACAACAGATGAAGGAAATGAATTCTATCAAAATCCCAGCGAATTAGAAGGAAATGAATTCTACCAAAATCCCAGCGAATTATATGAGTAAGTTTATATCTTCAGAAAATTTAAGTGTTCATGTAAGTTTTAGTATAAATGCTTAATTCAATCGTAAAAAGTCACAGACCTTGGTTTTAAGTCAGCGCCAAAATTTTCTAGAAAATAACGCATTTTTGCCATATCAAGCCATATGTTAAAACATCTTCGGCATCGTATAATATTATACATTAAAAATACATTGAACTTTTTATACTAAATCAAAAAATATTATGCAATTCAGACGAGGGGCAAAAAAGTAAAGGTCTGAACAGCTGAAATGTCAGACGTGTCCTTCCCTTGTCGATAAATAAGATTGTTATAGACTTTTACGATTTCAGGCCCGGCTCAAACATCACGAACGCCGCCATCAATTTACGAGCAAACACTCTGAATGCAGATGATGCCAATTACATTTTACCGACTAACGCAGATGATGTTATACCAAGTTACCATGTTCCACTGGAACCTATGAGCATAAATCCACTGGAACCTATGAGCATAAATCAAACTTATGAAAATCAAATGACTCGAACATCTGAAATAATGGAATCAATTTTCACTGACAGAAACATTTATGTCGATGCCCCAACATCTTAAAACCGTGCACAAGTAGCGCCGTTGTACATTTTAATTAAAAGAATGATTTTTTGTTTTTTTTTGTTTTTCGACGTAATTCAGTCACCATAAACAAGAATCAGCAGCTACCTTGAAAACTGAACTACTATCTTTTATTAAAGAATGAGTTTTGTTTGCGGCTTCAACTAAAATTGTTGTTCTCGGTGAATATCAGAGCCTTCCAAATGTTCAACTTCATTTTTTCTGGGATAATGAATGCATAAAAAACAATAAAAACAAAAAAATTTTATTGTTTTTTATGCATTCATTATCCCAGAAAAAATGAAGTTCAACATTTGGAAGGCTCTGATATTCACCGAGAACAACAATTTTAGTTGAAGCCGCAAACAAAACTGCTCGTTTTTTGTAGAAAAGTTTTCTTAAATGACCGAACGATTTGCCTCAAATCAGTTTTGAACGATTTATTCCTCGCTTACGCGTGTTATAAGAAAGCGATGTATTGATCGTTCATTGTTTCAAATGGAGCAATTTATTAATCGAGTTTCAAAACCGGCATAATTTTATTTAAAAAATAACTACAGGTGAGATTTTAAAATTTATGAGCTCAATACAAAAAACTTTTCTGCAGATTATATTATAAGCTTCCTTTCAAAACGCTTAGGCGAAAGATAAAGTTGTGCCTCCAGAGTGAGGCTCTAGGTATAGAATCCCGATCGGTACATTTTCTTTCATATCAATGGCTTTTATTTTTTGAGAAATTTTTGAACTTTGGGCAACCGTCTGTGTGATTGTTTCTTGTTAGCCTTTCCAAAGAACGAACTTTCTTGAACGATTAAGAAATTTTTACAATTATAGAGTACCGCATTCAATAAGTTTTTCCGCATTCAATGATTATAAATTTCTATAATTTTGATTCTAAAAAAATAAGAAAAATTTAAATTGTGTCGAGAATAATTGATCTGAAATTTGTACGTTTTAAGGCTAATTGAGAACAGCAGTTCTGATGACTGGCTTCTCTCGCAATTCAATTTAGTTTCAGTTTCAACGATAATTTACTTGCCGGTTTTCTTTTTTTGTTGTTTTTCGACGTGATTCAGTCACCATAAACAAGAATCAGCGGCTACCTTGAAAACTGAACTACTTTCTTTTATTTCAATCAAGCATGCGATAAGCAAGGTTATTGCAGTTAGGTGCTAGACTTTTTCCGTAAATTACTCATCTCTTGGACCAGGGATTTTCCGCTACAACGCATAATTGGAACCTTGAAACTGCTTGAAAGCTTTTGAATTTTGAAACTGAATTAATTTAACTGCTACATACATTCAGCAAAAGCTTAAATAATTGCCCGGAGGGAAATCTTAAAGAGCAGTACTGCTATTCGAGAGAATATCGAGGAGAGGAAAAGAAGATGATTTGTTTTTTTTTTTTGGTTTTTCTAAACAGTTTACCGAAGTGGGTTGGAATTTATAAAAACTGTTTGTAAAGGGTCAATTTATTTTCAAGTAGGTAACAAAAAACTGCTTACGAAATCAAATAAAGCTGTACTTGGCAATTTTGTGGATGTTTCCAGACATCAAATATTTTGTTTTAACTTATTAAAAGCCCTGTCTAACTCTTACAGAAAGCGATCTTTGTATAGCAGTGTTTGAAAATTTCGTATTTGCAAGGTTGCCGTTTGACTTGTTTTTGATATGTGGGCCAAGTTGTTTGGTATAATTTTGAGAAAACATTCTTTCTGTTTTTTGATTAAAATTCAATAAATTGCTACTAGAACAGTTCAAAAAGTAACACTCAAAATTATTGAGTAAATTATTTTTGTCCAATAGATTTTGATTGATTATTTTTTTGATTTTCCTCGGCAAAACTGTTAAAAACATGGAATAGTGTTTTAGTTTTTTCACCTTTCAACCTCTACAGTCAAAAAACTGTCTTTGTTCTTTTTGGGTTGTTTTCGATGCATGATTTCGGGCCGTAGAGTTTTCTAAAATACTTGCTTCAGTTGGATTACAAACCCAATTTTAAAGTTTAAGTTTTTCATCACACTTTTCACGATCAGAACAATTTTGAGGCATCTGTAATCAATGATTGCTTCTTTCCTTTAATTTCCTCCACAAGCGTAAAACGATTTGAAAACAATTTCTTATAAGAACATTAAAAAGTAAAATGTAGACATTGTATTTTCCATTCTCTTTAAATTTCATGGATTCAGTTTTAAGATTTCAACAAACTTTCTTCGGATTTTCAGGGTGGTGAGACTATCATAACCAGATATATACATATGTAAGCGATCTTAAATGGTTGAGTAAACTGTTTCTTCTTTGGTATTAAAGTTTGCAATTACATGATGAAAACAATTACCGAAAGATGTGGTTACGCGAGTGGGCTGATTGTTTAAGTATTTGAACCGTAGCCGTTTATAAGGTTCAGATATAATCTAGAAGTCTGCATGGTTTCAAATTTGTAAAAACTAAATTCACCACAAACAAGAAACTTAGTTTTAAATTCAATCAAATGTATAAGCTACTCGATTTTTTTATCAGAAACAATTCGTTGTTATTTTGCGGGATTTTATATCCTACGAAATTTCAACCCCGAATGTTTTTGTCTAGTAGAAATACTTAAGTATGAACACTTGCAGCCTACACCGTCAATATTAAACTTCACTACGTTTTACACATAAAAAGCACATTCACCAACTCTCTTACTTTTTTGATAATCTAGAGTGATAGAAAGGCAGCCATTTCATTGGTAAAGATCGAAAAAATAACTGTCACAGAGGCATGTTTTGCAGAGTTCATTGTTTCAAAAAGAAAGAGGTCGTAAGAGTTTTTCCAATTAATGTTTTATATTTTATTTTTATTTCAGCATTTTTCAGATTTTTCTGTTTTGTAACAGCATGGTAATTTTTATTCCGATGCTAATTTTTTTTCTTTTGTCTGGGCATGATTTTTACCAAAGATATTTATTTCATTTTGATAGATCTTATTGTATGTTTAGTTTTTAAAACTCATTTTGCTGATAGGCTGCTTTTAATGCTGTTTATTTAGCTGATGGCTTTTTGGCTTTCTGGCTATCAGTTAAAATATTACGTTTCCGAAATGTACAAAAATCTTGCAATCAGTATAATGTAAATCGTGTAAAAATTTTGGGCAGTATGGTTTTTTGCAACCAAATTTTGTCAAAACAATCTTTACTTAATAATTTATTAGATAGAAAAATCATTGTCATCTTATTTTTGAATGCTCAAATCAGCCCTATATGGAACTCTGAAAAGCTTTAATTAATCGTTGAAATATCGTTTTAGGTGCTTTAAGAAGGTTTTGAAGCGTATTGCCGTTTCAAATTTATGCTTGTTGTGTCGCATGTGGTGCGAAACTCAGCTTCGTCTCTGTAAAAATGTTTTTTTTTCGATTTTTTTTCCTGAATGTATGTGAACCGAACAATCTTTTTTGAGGTTGTTCCGATTAAAGACTTTCGGCGTACTTTATATAGGTTTAGGTGCAAAAGGTAAAATGTCATTCAAAGGGCCAAAAAACTTTTAGGCGTGATTTGAGGTGTGTTTTACTTCGAGGAACGTAACAAATTGGAGATCTTTAATTTGTTGAAGCCAAATCACGTAATAAAGTCTCTTGTAAATCGTGACTTTTTGTCATTCAGGCTGAAGTTAGCTTTTTCGCGGTTTGGTTTCTGATTTTTTCAACTCTTTAATTTAATTTTTTGATTTCGCAGCGGAACAAAAAACCATTTGAACCAGTTTTGTTTTATTGGGTCAAGTTTATCGAAAAAGTGCTAACAACTAATTTTTCCTGAAACTAAAAGAGTTTTAATTGCATAAATATATAATATTTTTGTAAAATTTTAAATTTAAAGATTTTTTAATCAAGTTTTTATTTTTATTTCCGTTTCCTTGCATTTATTTCTTTTTCCTCCATTATTTTGTACTTCCCTTAGTCGGGGGAGGAGGTTAGTTAATTACATTCAAGTTTGCAAATCAATTTGCAAGTCATCCAAGTTTACATTTGGATTTTTTTCGGTTTTGCGGTCACGGATCTTTTGCGGTCAAGAAGTACCAAAAGCGAAGTAATCATTTGAAAAGTTACTCTCGATTTTAATAGTTTTTCTTAGCCGGATTGACTTTTAAATCGCTTCTTGGAAAATTTTTTAAAAACTGGCTCACCTCCCATTTCAATTTAGTTTCAATTTTAACAATATTTTACTTGTCCGTTTTCTTTTTTTCTCGACTTATTTCAGTCACCATAAACTATACATAAAACAGCAGTTACTTTAGAAAACTAGACTACATTCTTTTCTGTCAATTAAGCATCCGATATGCAACATTATTGCAAAAGTTTACTGAACGTTTTTTCGTAAAGCACTCATCTATTGGATCAGGAATTCAATCACTTAATTGACTTTTCTGTTACAATGCATAATTTGAGCATGGTAGATTCGAAATCTGAAACTAATTTAATTTTTCAGCTACACGCATTAAGAAGAAATTGAGTTCAGAAGAATTGATCAAATTTTTGCCTGTTTTTAGGCTAAGTAAGAACAGTTCAGATGACTAGCTTACCTCCCAATTCAGTTTAGTTTCCACTTCAAAAATATTTTACTTGTCGGTTTTGTTTTCGTTTTTTTTTTACGTAATTCAGTCAGCATAAACTATACAAAAATCAGCTGTTACCTTGGAAAAATGAACTGCTTTATTTTACTTCAATTAAGCATGTGATAAGCAAGGTTATTACAATTGTGTAACAGATTTCTTCCGTAAAGTCCTCATCTCTTGAACAAGGATTTAATCAATTGCTGGGCCTTTCTGTTAAAACGCATAACTTGAATCTGCTAGCTTTGAAATTGAATTAATTTACTAGCCACATTCATTAAGGAAAAGCCGGTGACACATACTAATTTTCTAGCCACACAAGTTAGGAAAAACGTTGGTCAAGAAGAATTGATCAAAATTTTGTCTGTTTTTAGGCTGATTAACCCACCAGTTCTAATGACTGGCTTAACTCCCATTTCAATATAGTTTCAAGTTCAAAAAAAAAATTTATTCGGCCT